AATATTTGACAGAATTTTTTTTTAAATAATCATCATTTTATAAAAAAATAATTTTTAATAAATATTTTTGTAAAAATAGGTATTTTCATTTGTAGTTAAAATGTAATTTTTTAGGCAGTGAAATTTAAAATAATGATTTTAAAAAAAAAATGATGTATACAATATATGTATACAAGTTTACTATATGAGCTTTTTAATTTTTTTTTAGTTATTTAAATGTCAGTGCTGTGGCTTTGGCAAATAATCATCTCATGGACTTTAAAGAGCTGATAAATCCAACCATGAGTTTGATTAAAAATGCAAATATACAATACAGTGGTGTTACACTGACAAGTTCTATAACAGCTAAACAGGTAGAAACCAACAATTAGGCATTTAAAATCTAATATAAAACACACAGTGTTATATATTGGTTTTTGAACATTTTCAAAAAATGATTTTTTAATAAAATTGATTTAAAATATTTTCTTTTTATATAACCAATGATTAAAGCTATTTTCTGCATGTTTTTGTTTTAATAAAACAACAGTATAAATATATTGAATAAGGTATTGATTAATATTAGGCAAAAATGCTTGTCTGTTAAACAAAAGGTTGTTTAAAGTTGCCAAAGACAACCAGTTCAGTTACATATAAAACCTTTAAAATGAACTTGGCAGACCTGTCTAAAATGAACTTGGCAGACTAGCAAACAGTTTCATTTTTGTTTTTATAAGCAGTTTTGTTTTTGTTTTTATATGCTATTTTTTTACCAAATATAAATATTTTTACTGTTGCTTTATCAAAAAAAAAATTTATTATTTTTGTTTTTTGTTTTTATTTAAAAATCTTTCAAATGTTTTTAACATCAACTTTTATATGCATAAACTTTTTTTAAAACAATTGAGTTCCCTACTTGATTTTAGTGGCTCTTAACCTTGGGGAGGTGCATACAGTTAAAAAAATATGTTATCATTTTAATTAAATTATTTGTATTATAGTTGCCCGTCTTAGTAAAACCGTCTGATGTTTTAAACATTATATCATAATAGTTCCTTTTTTTCTAGAAACCAGTAATTTTGCATTCTAATAATGTTTCCATTGGTGTTTTATCATACTGTGCAAATGTTGAAGGCTGCACAATGATCAGAAACAAAAGTGAAGTTGGAGTAGCAATAGTAGTAAACTATACTTTTGCAGCTGAAGAAGCAAAGGAATTAAAAAAGGTATATTTTGGAAAAAGATGTTTTCGTTTTATTTAAACTAGTCATTTTTTCCCTGAATTTGCTTTGGCCTTGCTTAGTAGTTGCTAATTAAAATTTTATATATATGTTTAAAAAAAAGTTTATTCAAATAAATCTATTTTTGAAGTAAAAGTGATTTCATGACTAAATCTGACTGTTTGATATTTTCAAAATAAACTTTATTAAAATAAAAATTATTATATTGAAATAATTTCCAAAAATTAAACTTCAAATAGACTGTATTTAAGTTATATTTTTTTACTTAAAAAATATATCTTGAATACAATAAATCTTATTCTTTAATTGGATATATCATATGGATATATTTTAAATGTTATTCTTTATTTGGATATACAGTGAACTCCTGATATCTCAAATCCTTGATAACTCGAACTTTCAGTAATTTGAAGTACTTTCAATTTCTCTTAAACCCTCACTAATATTTTCTTATAAAAATCACTTGGTAACTAGAACCCCTTTTAGTTTAAACCATTTTATCTGTTCCCGTGGTTTCTTCTGATAACTCAAACAAAATCTTAGTAAGATTTTTTTTAGTTAAATTAAACTTTTTTCATGCGCAATCAAGTTTCCTATCAAATTTTTAAGAAATTTATTTAATCACAATGAAGGCCCTGCATTGCAATGTAAACAATATTAGCAGTTTTGATATTAGAATAGCTTATAGTTATGTTAACAAGCTTATAGTTATGTTAACAAGGATTGGAATATTATAATAAAAGTCTAAATAAAAATAAATGTATTTTGTTTACATTTTACAATGGCTACTGTCGCTGTAAAGAGAAAAATGAACACCATCATCTAAATAAATAGCAAACATATGTTTATATCCATAATATGTATGCATAAAGCGCATCTCAGAAGTTTTTATTCCTTTTGGACTAAAAGTTTGGAAGTTTTTAATCCTACTCTTTAAGTCAAACCTCATTCTATTCCATATTTTTTTTTCACCATCTTGAGCAGTTGCTTTATTAATCATCCAGTAATAAAATTATTCTTGAAGACACTCTTCTTTATTTTAAGTAAAATTATCTAAAGTGGCTTTACTTGTTGATGACTAAACTTTATACTCATGTCTTGATTAAAAATCTTCACTTGTTATTTGCTTAGAACAAGCAGCTGACTTTAAATCTGATCTCTCTTCTGTAACAGCCTAAGGCTCGCAGTGGCTTATGGATTTAAATTCTGGACTAAAAAATTCTGCAATTTTTTTTTGACAACAAAACTCATTTACTGCAAAAAAAATACTGCAATAATGTTGGTATTGCAAAAATACTGCAATAATGTTGGTATTCCTATATTGATGAATAATAACCCTCTTACTCTCACTTTTAGACTAAGTCTAAAAGCACATTGTAAATGTAATGTGGTCGTGGTGTAGTGGTAGAGCGCTCACGTCATAAGAAAGAGGTACAGAAGTACCACGTCCCTAGTAGTACCACGCTCAACTCTGCACAGTGGCCTTGGTTGTCAAGGTTCGTGTTTTGGAGTTATATAGTTGAGAGAGGGTTATAACCACAATTAAGTAGCCCCCTTGTCTGTAGTGTTGTTTTCAGTCTTTGGAGGAGGGGGGGGGGGTGAATTAACATTAAAGAAATAATAATAAATTATACCTGCTTTATCTGCCAAGCTTGAACCACTCTCCTATTGTTGTAAGGTTGCATTTCTTTCTTTTTTCTACAAATGCAATCATGGTCAATGCTCAAACAAGCAATAAACCAAACTATGATAAACCAAAACTCATTCTTGCTTGTTTCTCAAACTACTACAAACTCAAACTACTTATTTTTTAAACTCTAAACTCAAACTAAGATAAACCAAAACTCATTCTCACTTGTTTCTTATTCAATAAGTTGCATCCTTTTACTGTATCTATCCCTTCATGCTATAAAAACTTTAATTGTTTTTTTCATTGCAGATCAAAAAAAACTTTTAACCATTAGCCATCATCATATTTTTCTTTTATATTCAACCTACAACTTTTCCAGTCTTCAGTTAACAATTTCTTAGTATTTTTACTTATTTTCTATTTTAAAGTAACTCATAACTTATTAGTGTTTGCTTGCGATCTTGTTGGAAGTAAATTAGAGTTTAAAAATATTTAAATATATGCCAGTATTTAATAATAGTAAATGTAAACATAAAATTATAATATATAAAGTGTTATAAATTTTTTTCTAGCTCTAGCTATCAACTCCTGCTAAATCTTACAGTTTAGCTGGGGCCAGGGACAGGGCTGGGTTTGAAAAAAGTCTCATTTTTAGCCAAGGCCCCAATCACTTACTAGTTTCCAAGAAAGATTGGAAGTAGAAGTTAATCCTAGAAGATGAAGGGTAGATGACTCATTGAGTATATTACCGTTCATAAATATAGAAAGATCTAGATTATTATGATAAAGATTAGCGAAAAAAATTGAGTTTTATCTGTGTTAAAGTTCACCAGTCAGCCTTCTGCTGTAGCAGAAGTGAGATCCTTTTCAAGCTCAAATCCTGCCTCTAAGCAATCAGAAAGTGTTGGCTTCTTATCAAAACATAAATAAATGGTAGTATCATCAGCAAACAATGCCACCTTTGATGTAAGAATTTCTAGGAGATCGTTAATGTAAATTAAAAAATGTATAAGGCTATAAAATCTCGAGAAACCCTTGAAGTTACAGGAAATGAAGAAGAGTGCTGCCCATCAAGGACAGTTTTTATACTACGATTGGTTAGGAAAGATTCAATTATCTTAAAGATGTTATTTGATATACCATAAGAAAAAAGCTTCTGGAGAAGACTAGCATGTTACTGATATTTAGGAAGCACAGCAAGTTTTGTATGACTTTATGCCCTTCAGTATTAGTGGTAAAGATTTTCAACAAAAGTTTGATAGAGATGTTTCTTTAAAACTAATACAAAGTGATTTTTTAATTTATAATGTATTGTTTTTATCTTTGATATCAAAACCTTTTATAACTTAAATTGTTTATACTTATCGGACACAGTTTATATTATAAAATGCCTCAATAACTCAAACTATTTTCTTGGGCCCTTGGATGTTCAAGATAATGGAAGTTCATTTCAAAGAATACTGTATTGTATGGATATATTTAAATCGTTATTCTTTAATTCTTTATTACCTTTAAAAAAGGTTTTTAAATAAATCAAACTAGTATCATACTCTACATAGCTTTTACAAATATTTACATAAATTCAGTTGTAATGAAGGTCTAGGTACCTTCAACAAACTATTAAATAAGTTTTATGTATTTCTTAACACTAAGAAGCTTAATTGAACCAGTTTCTTATCAATTGTTAAAAACTTGTTCATATTCTGAGAAAGCAATATAGCCACATTAATAAAAGAGAAAATAATCAAAAAAATAACAAAAGTATAAAGAATGTTATGAACATTTTATATTATCATCTTTAATGTTATTAATACTTCAATACATGAAGTACATAATATTAAAAAGTGTTTTTATCCATATTTATTACTGAATTATATTAGTTATTTTTTTTGGTTACATATTTGGATTCATATGTGATATGAGTTACTAATTTTTTAATACAGTAGTGGTGTAGTGGTAGAGCACTTACTTTGTAAGCCAGAAGTTCGGAGGTTGATCCCCACCATGTCCCTGGTAGTACTGTGCTCAACTTGTTTTTCCACATAACGGCCTTGTTTGTCAAGGTTTGTGTTTTAGTCTTATGGAGTCGAGAGAGTGTTGTAACAACAATTTAAGTAGCCTCCTTGACTTTATAATTCTTCTTGGCCTTGGGGAGATGAATTTACATTAAAAAAATAATAATAAATAAAGAAAAAGAATATTGTTATATATCTAATTACAAAAAAGTGTATAATAAAAATTTTGTTACATAAAATGAGTAGTTTCTCTGACTATACCGACTCCCTGGAGCTTTAGGAGATGCATATATTGAGGCACATATTATTTAGAAGATGCATATGTTTAAAACTATGTTATATATTTTGATGTTAAAAAATCTGCAGCTGAATTTATAGGTCAAATTTTAATTGATTTCACTGTAAGTTGTGAAGGTTAAACAAGATTCTGTACACCAGTAAATTGAAGGTAAAACTCAGATAATTGCTATTCATGAAATCATGTTTGCAATGTTTTGAACTATATTGATTTGTTCACAAAATGAAAACAATAACTTTAGCAGAACATAGTACAAAGTCATACTTTGAAATCACATGTTTGTCAGAAGTTTCAGAAAAGGAGTATTAGATAAGAATAAAAAATGAATTATGAAAAACTTTTTTCAGACAAATTTTTATTTTTTTAGTGACAATTTGATCTGATTCACACAAGCAATAAAGAAACTAGATTTGACTTTAATGCACTTTTAACAAAAATAAACAACTACTTTTTCTGTTTTCCTGTTACCTGTTTAATTTTTATAAGAAAAAGTTTATTTTAATGTTAGAGTGTTGATGTTGTGATTGGAATTTTCCACTGGGGTGACGAATATGCTGTTTTACCTGAGAAAGGTTCATTCTTGAAAATTGCAAATTTTTTAAACCCTCATTTTGATGTTGTGGTGGGAATGCATCAACATGTAATCAGTGGACATTTTTACTTCAAAGGAACTCTGTTTGTACTTGGACTTGGAAATTTTCTATTTCCAATGCATTTAACACCAGCATATGTAAGTCAATGTTTTTTTTTATTTTTGAAATTTTTTTGACAGTTCAACTTCAATGAAAAAAAATTATTTGATTATAATGAACAAATTTATTAGTTATATATGATAGATGTGACCATAGTTAATTCAAGTTTGGCCAATGTTTGTTAAAAAGTTGCCAGTGTTAATTTAATAGCGGCCAGTGTTAAAAACTAAAAAATAAAAAAAAAATTAAAAACTGTAATAATACTTTAAAATTTAGGCAAAAAAAAAAAAAAAAGAGGGGGTTTAATTTAAATTTAGATTTTCTACTCATCTTTTGATCTTCTGATTATTAGCAAAAATTTTAAAATGTACTCATATACTATTTAATTTTGTTTAAATTTCAATATGTTGTCGAGTTGCAATAGGATGTTAATTCATGAAACACTTTTGAATTTCCATCTTTGAATAGTGGAAATTTTTACCAGGAAAAATGCAATAATAACCTTTCTGTTTTTTTTTTATTTTTTTTTCCCTGAGGAAAAAAATAAAAAAATACAGGAAGGCTTTCTGTATTTTACCCTTGTCCACATTTGGTCATGGAAAAAGTAAAAAATTTTCATATTTCTATGAAAGTCATAGAAACTTATAATATGATCATTCTTTTTTTCTACAATTAGTATTTTAAGATATTTCCATAAAAAAGTATTATAATGTCTTATTTAAGCTTCATCTACCTTTTTCAAAAAGATTGCATCTATAGATTAATATTTTATTGCGTTTAAAAAGAAAATGATAAAGAAAAGATTTTTGATTCAGTTAATTTGATACATTTTTTATCATGTTTTTGTATTATTTCTTTCATGTAGCTGTGGTACACATACACCTATTTTTAATGAGCAAATAATACTGGTTTTAAATGTAAACTAAAAAATAACAACTTTTTGCTTCTGATAGTTTAAGTAACTAGAAAAAATATAAAGTAAATTAAACATTTAAGTTTTATCAGCTTTTAGTACTTGGGGATTATTTTAGATGTTTATCAAGTTTTGAATACACATTGACATGTCTAGGTTGCTAAAGTAAAGTTTAATGACTTGTAAACCTTAATGTTATGATTTTTAAAAGAGCTGTGTTGTGTATAAATATATTTTCTTTATTATTCAGAGTGAACTATAAATTATTACAAAAATCTAAACAAAATCTGGCTATCTAATAAACTTTGGAATGTATCCATACTTTATATTTGCAGCAATTAAAGAAATTCATCACCTTTTTGTTTTGTTTTTAAGATTAGCCTATAAATCATTTGCTTTAAGAGAAACAGATGGGTTACTAATTTGTTATTGGAGTGAATCCTCATTTGTTTTTAAAACTTAAAAGTTATTTGGTTTCAAAAATTTTGAATTTGCTGAAAATTTAATCACAGAACTTAATGAAGCTTATAAATGATTATTTGAAATAAATTTAAAGCCATATTGCAACTCTTTCATGATTCACCTGCTAGAAAAGATGTCTGTGTTAAAGAAATCTGTTGTGTATAGTTAATGATATTTTAAAAACATTATTTTAAGTTTTTAATGACAATATATAGCTTACTATCTACCAGTTTCTTTTAATTTATAATTTAAATGCAAGGAGCAAGTTAAGCAATTGCGAAGTGCAAGGAGCCAAAGCCATTAATTTTAAAATAATAATATTCAATTAATCAATCAAATTTATATTTGTCAATTAAAGTGATTGCAATTGCTAATTTTTATATTCCCAGGTAAAAGGTTTATGAAAAAAACTTTCATCACGTTTTAAAATGAAGTTGATACAAAATAACCTGGTCAAACAAATATTACCTTTGGTAATTTCTCTATCAGGTTGAAGTTAATTTTAAATGTAACAGGTGTACTTTTTGAACAATGAGCTAAGAAATGCTTGTCTTAAAAGCTTGTTTATTTTTTTGAAGTTGATTAAAATGTAACAAGATTAACCTCTTTTCTATTTTTTTAGTTTTGGCATATAACATTAAATATAACAATGTTGTATTTGTTGATGCAACTAACACATATCAACTCATCAAACTTGATGTGTCAAAAAAGAAAAACCATTTTCCAGCTGATTAAATTGATCTTGGTACTGCAGTCAAATTTACTCTATGGTTTAAAGATGTAACAGAATGCAGAAAATTTAAGAAAGATTGTGTTATAATGTTTGTTAAAATTGTTAAAAAACTGCAGGAATAAGTTCTTTGAGGTACATGGTAGTATGAAATGCAATCCGTTTTTCACCAACTAATATGGCTAGCTTAAGGACTTAACAAAATCTATTGTAACAGACAGTAAGGAAAAGATCAACTAGGTAAAATCTTTTACATTGCTCCTTGACAAGTCTTATTTAAATTTGAGCAAATACTTTGAATCATTATGGAAAATCTATATATTAGTTTTCAATTTATCTCATAGTCATTGTGCTGTTGTGCAATCTTTTAGTGTTGACATTTCACTTTATCTCATAGTCATTATGCTGTTGTGCAATGTTTTAGTGTTGGAATTTCACTTTATCTCATAGTCATTGTGCAATGTTTTGGTGTCAACATTTCACTTTATCTCATAGTCATTTGTGCTGTTGTGCAATAAAGTTTGAAATCATGCACCAATCCTCTTTGATTCGTAAGTGTACATTTATGACAGCATAACAGCAACAGTATAGAATGTTCACTATTTCATAATCACTAATGAATTAATAAAAGTTGCAAATTTTCTCATTCTCAATATGCAAAACATTTGTTTTTGGAAACTGTTTCTACTAAGAAAGAAAAAGAAAGCTCATTATTGAAGAAATTAATTATGCAAGAAAGAGAAAGAAAGATATTCAGTAATTTATGAAATGTCATATAATTTTATTTTGGAATTAGAGTGGCTAAAACTCTTTTTTATTAGCTCCATTATTGATTTTATAATTAATATTCACTCAAGAAAGATTCAGCAATTTTTTTTTTTTGAGAGTGAAAAAGTGAGACAGTTTTTATATTTTCATATTTTCATAATTCAAAAAAGATTAATGTTGAAATGAAAAATCAAAAAGTTATTTCAAAAATGTAAAAAAATAAAGTAAAAACTTTATTTAAAAAAAGATTAAAAGATAAAAATTAATTTAAAAAAAAAACGAGAAAAAGAAAACAAAATAAATAAAAATATAGTACAAGTTGAAGGAAAAATGTTTGAAAATAAAAAAAACAACAGGTTTTTGTATCAGAAAAATTCTTAATGAATGAAAGGAAGAAGAACAGTTTTTTTAATTTTTATTAATTTAGTACATAATTTATATTGTCGTGTATTTTGGTGTATGAATAATACTAAATACATCAATTCCATTACATTTTTCATTCTCAATCATGTTTGCTTTTTTGTTTGCATAGTGTTTATTGCTATTTGTCTAATTTTTGCTTTTTCAAAATTATAAAAAAAGTAAGTTTTGTTTGAAGTGGCCACCTTTGTTTTTGATAGAGAGCCTCAAACACTTTTTGAAATTTTCCACAGCTCTGCTGGGGTTATTTGATTTTATTACCTGTTAATGACTTTTTGAGAGCTTCCAAACTTTTGTGGAGTTGATCTAACGCTATAATTGAATGGGTTGACATTACAGGAATATGGTAGTTATTCTTGAGCTGAGATGAAATCAGGAAAATTGGTTTTATACAAGTCATGTGTTAATTTGGCTTGATGAGATGGTGCTGAAAACCTTCAAAAGTTATTTCCAAAGTGATGTGTTGAGATCAGGGAAGCACTGCATCTTTAAAAATACCTTTTCTGTACACATCTTTGTTGAATTTATCCCCAGAATCAATGAAAATAAGGAGAGTTTTATCCGTTGCACAAATTTCAGCCCAAAGTTTCAGCCCACTTAAGCAATTGGCAACTAGTGGAACTCGTTTGTTGTCATCATTGAGAAGCTGTCTTTATTTGAGTTTGCCGGGGCGAAACTTGAGCTCCTTTTCGGCAATAAGTCAAACCAACTTGCCATTGATTTCTATTTGGAGAGTGACCTTTCTTATCAAAACTTTAGAATTTCTGGTCACTTGCTTAATGATAAATTTTTGGTGCTGCACTGTATTCACTGTTTGTTTTCGGCCTTTTCAAAGACAAGCCCCATCATGGCCAAGCTCCTTGAATGGTTTTTTTACTTTATGCAGTTTACACACTTTAGACAGTTAGAAAACTACACAAACAAATAAATAATTTTGCACACTCACTTTTCTGCACGATGCAAATCTAAAATTTAGCTTCACTTGTTTGACATCCTGAAAAAAAAAAAAATGTATCAATAAAATAAAATAAAAAACCATAAAACATATAGAACAAATCACAGAGAATTTAAATAAAACCATATTGAAGCGCAAAATTTAAAAATGATGAGTTTTGCATGTGATTAAAAAATGTTTTTTTTTTCACCTTGTATTGTTTTGATAATAAACAAATTTTTTTTCACATATCTGAAGGCTTGTTTATTTAGATATTCTTGTTTGTTTAGTTTTAGATATTTAGATATGTAATATATATGTAATATATATGTAATTAAATAAAAGAAAATAAATAAATAGAAACACTGAATTATTTATTATTTTAATATAATGTTGATGTTTTTTGTATTGAATACAAATTTTCAAATGTAGAAATTAGTCTACCTTATGGTTGAACTTTATTTAAAGTTTTAAATATTTAAAAACTTTAAAATTTCAGATCTTAGTTTTATCATTAAAAACCATTGAAAAAATCTTTTTTAAAAAATCAATGTGCGTGCTGTGCGAAGCTGTGTGTTTATACAAGTTAAGATCTTAATTCACTCATTGTATTGTATGGGTTTACATGTTTTTTAGGTTTATCTAAGTTAAATTTATTATCTTAAATGACATTGTAGTTTTGTACTTTTTTTGATAAAATTGAATTCATTTTTATAACAAATTGTAAAATCTTTTTTCATTTTTTATTTTTAAATTTTATTCATTTATCAAATATATTTTGATTTTGTTTTGTTGCAAGTAATATGTCAATTTGATAAAAATGTCACACTAGTAAATAAAACTTTACAAAAATAAAATTTTTACTTTATATAAAAGTAAAGAGTAAAGATATTGATTTAAATATTTTGGTTTAAAAAAACTTTTTGACATGGCAAATATTTTTTTGTGGTAGAAATTTAATGTGTTTCGAAAACCAAAAAAAAGTACAGAGAAGTTCTGGTACAGACTATCTAAAAAGTACAAAAATACCTCTGCATTCGGGAAGATCCTCAAATTAAACTTTAACAAGTAAGATTTTGAAAATATTTTGTAGTTATTCTTTTTAATGTAAATAAAAAAGTAAAATCAAATTTCTAGTTAAATTTAGATTTTTTACAAATTAAAATAACTAATAAATTTTTTTTTTTTTAAATCTTTATTGAGATGTAGAATTTCTGTTTTTTCGTGGTTTGCATTTTCAAAATTATTTGTATGCAAGTAACATAAATAACATCAATTAAATGCTCACTATGGTTTGCATTTAATCGATGTTTTGATGAATCGAAATCATGAATCTACTTTAATCAAGGGTGGTTTTTCAATGAATTTTATAATGAAATCACAAGTAATTAATGAATATGTTAGAAGTAAAAAGTTTCGTATGCCTATTCTTTTCCACTTGTTTGTTTTGCTTTGTTTTTGGCTGTTTGTTGTTGTGTTTTGAAAACATCATTCTCTAAAGGTTGCAAATGATTTGTGTGTCATCGCTAAAATATAATATTTTTTTGAAAAACTAATTTTTTACAACCAGATGTGTGAGACCATTTATAAACCATTCATCCTGATTTGTCTGTGTTGTAAATTATTTTCGGCACCATCTTAGCACCAATAATTTTTTAACTATGCTATTTTGATAAAATGTTTTTCTTTGAAAAGAAAATGATAATGAAATAATTAAAAAATTTAATAAAACCTTTATAAATTACTTGATGTAACATTATTTGATATACCATAAACACCACCTGTTAAATGTGTTGTAATTTGCTTATCCTTTATTGGTAATTTTTTAGGGTTTTTAAGGAAATTTTTCTTAAGTTACTTTGACTTGGTTAAATTGTAAAATGAACTCATTGCAGTTTAATTTTTTTTTTGATTTAGATTGTGCTTTCTTTCTGTTACTTGCTGAAACTAATTATTCTTGGTTGTGTAGGCACTGTTCTAATACATAGCATGCCACTAGCTTACTTTTATTAAATTTCATTTTTTCATGAAATCTTAGTGCTGTTATTTAGATAGCTCTTACGGAAATTTTCCATGTAAATTTTCCATTCTATGAAAAAAAACCAAGGAAAAACCATGGATTTTCCATGGAAAACCCATATGTTTTCCATGGATCGTAAACCTTGGAATTCCCATGGGTATTTAGAACACCTTTCCTAGAAAAACTCATAGATTTTCCGTGATAAAATAGAATGTTTTATTTTCAAGTTTTTTTGATCTCATGTTTCAATTGTCATATTAAACCATAAAAAGCAAATTTTATTACACAACTCGCTAATATTATGAGTTCTTTTAATCTATAGGATCGCTTCAGCAGAATAAAAATGATCATACAGGCCTTGTTTTAAATAAAAAAGTGCTTAACGCATTAGCTTAACGCGATTTTGACGTCATAAAATTATCTTTATTTTTTTTTATAGACGTTAAGTGTTTTAACTACCGCAATAAATAAATAACCGCAAACTATTTCAATTTAACAATTAACTTAAATATAAACTATAAACGTTTTAAATATAAATTTATTATGAAAATTTTGTAATGTTTTCAATAGTTATTTTATTATTAATTTTAGTTCATTATTATTTAGTAAAATATATATATATATATATATATATATATATATATATATATATATATATATATATATATATATATTAATTATTTCGGAAATTTGTTTTTGAATAATTGTTTTTAATCGTTATTGAATAAAAAATAATAATGTTTTTTTTTATTTTTAATAATTTCTAGAGTAAACAAAAAATATTAACATTGATAAACGCAAACCCATGTTAATTACTAAACAACGATTTTGTTTCGACTAACAAAGAAAAATTTAAGTTTTTAAATATTTTTTAAATTTTTAAAAGCGTTCAAAAGCGTTTAAAAGCGTTCAAACTTGCGTTTTATAAAAATATAAAAAAGTTTTGTCTGCTTTGTGCATATTTTTGATACGTAGTTTAGAACGCGTTCGCTAGGAATTTAATTCATAAATTTTTTATGTTATTGTAAAAATATTTAACTTTTTAAACAAATCACAAAGAAACAGAGCTATAGAGAAAAATCGTTTTCAACGATTAAATCTTTTTTTTTTTAATTTTAGGAAATTAAAAAAAAAATTAAATTAAATATAAATGTCTTAACTATGCAAACTCTTTTGTTAATTATTCTTAAAACAAAAAAAAAACAAATACTTCTACGCCAAACTTTAATCGTGCAAACTTAAAAAAATACTAAACTGAAATAATTTAAGTATATTTAATAATTTGAATCGTATCTGTTTATAATAAACGTTCGTAAAAATTTGTTTATTAAAAATTAAGTTCTTTAACTTATAAACAAACTCAAAAGTATTTTCATTCTACGTATAATTACAAAACTCTTTTTTTTTTCGTTTGAAAGCAATTTAACTTAATAAAATAAAAAAAAGAATAAATATGAGGTAATCTTTGTTAAGAATAACGTTAATTTATTTATTGAACTATATTTTTATTTTTAATTATATATCAACTTAATTAAAATATAGTAACATGTTAAAATATTTTAACATGACTTGTATTATTTATAAACCGTTGGGCAGTTGCCCTTACGGCACTATTGTTTTTGGATAATATTTTATTTTGATGAAGATCACATAACTTACATTTGATTTTAATAACGTAAGTCTTCTCTTTTTCTGTGATCATCGCATCGGCAAAGCATCGGCAAAGTCCCAAGATTTAAAAGTTTTTAAAGTAAATCTTTTGTCCTTCAAAATACAATCCATATTCGAACTTTAAACAATTTAGAGATAATAGAAATATACAAGGTTTTTATATACTAGTTTGTTTTGTTTTATAAAGAAAAATACATAATCATTAGTAAAAAATGGAGACTGTCATTAAACTAAAACGTGCCTTAGTATTTATTTAACGGAACCTGTAATGTGCGCGTGCATAATAAAACCTCCGTTATATAAATATATTCAACGTAATATTAGTGTCATCAGCGGATGTTGTAGTCTACTCATGATTTCTTTACCTTATATTATAACTTGATTTATGAAAAAAAAAACTTATTGAATCGCACGCAGAAGAATTTTAACAAATTGTCTTCATTCAAATATTGCGAGTAACAGGTAATTTTTTTTTTCTGTGCCGACCCCCTCCCCCCGCATAACTTAAATTATATACTAATAAACTAATAAGAAAAGCTATATACTATTAAACTAACTATAAGCTATATACTATTAAACTAATAAGAAAAGCAAAGACATTTTTTTTAACATCTCGAAAAAATGTCTTGATATTTTTGTTATCATGATAACAAAAATATTAAGACATTTTTTGAGATTTTATTAAAAAAAAATGTTAATTCTTAATTACAAATTTTTTTGCAAATGTTTTTTATTAAAAATTCAGTAAAAAATTCATAAAAAATCTATTATTACAAAAAACTTTTATATTCTGTATTAATAAATATGTAATATAGATTTTTTAAAAGTTTTTTTACTAAAAACTTTAAAAAATTACTACTTTTTATTAAAAACATTGCAAAAAATTTGTAGTTAAAGATTGACAAACAATTTTTCATGTTGCTAAATATTTGGATAAAAAGTTTAGCGTCAATTAATTGCTATAAAAAGGAAAGATATATCGCAATGAAAAGTTACAATAATTATTTTTAAAGAAAATTCTTTTTTTTAATAAATACCTTTACATAATGTTATTTAAAAGTTAATGTGGTTTTTTTGAAAATTAATTACTTCTTTTATGTTACCGCTAATTTAAAAGTTAAAAAATGATAAAAAGTAGCTTAACCAAAACAGCTCTACGCGTACGTAAAAAGCGTACGTACTTAAGCGTACTTAAGGCTTAAGTACGTACGCTTTTTACGTACGTACTTAAGTACGCTTTCTTACGTAAATCGCTCTAGGCGTAACGCTTTAAAACAAGGCCTGTCATATTAAAAGCAAATAGTAAATGCATCGCTCTTTCATGAATAAGGAGCTTCTTATCAGTAAAACGAGTTTTATTCAATGCTTTTATACTGTCAAATTTTTTCTATTGTCCTTTGATTTGAATGTTTTGTTCAGAGTATAATTATAACCTAATTAATAAAATTCATCAAAAAGGACTTCGCATTGTCTATAAAAGATTTGATCTCCCATTAGAAGAAATTCAAAAAATAGAAAATATCCCAAATATCCACCTTAGAAATTTAAGGTTTTTGTTAACTGAAGTTTTTTAATCTATAAATGATTTCAATCCAGATTTTATGTTTGACCTTTTTACCAAAAAATCCGTTAAGTCTTCAATGTAGTAAAAAATTAGTACTCTCACCCATAGTCTCTAAAGATAAGTTCATAAAAAGTAATTTATATAGAGAAACCTCGCTATGGAACTCCCTAGACAATGAAACTATGTCAATAAATTGTCTAAAGATGTTCAAAAAAAGTATTTTAAAATGGCACGGAAAATCTTGTTTTTGTAAAATCTGTCAAAAATAACTTTTTTTATTTTCTATGTCGAAGTTAACCAACTTGTTGTATTTATTGACATTTATATTATTTACTATGTAAGGTATTTTTATTTTATTTTATTTATTTTTTATTCACGATATGTATGTTTGTTTGTATTGTCTTATAGAGTTTAGTGTGTTGATTTTAATTAGCTTTTTGTTGATTATAAAACTAATGTAAACAATCAACTGAAAGTAAAGTTTTAAATGAAATAAATAAAATAAAATCAGTAAACAAAATTAGATTTAAAACTTGTCGAATCCTACAAATCTTTTAAATAGTAGTAACTTTAATGCATCTAAAACATTAAAAATTGACTTCACCACAATATTTAACGCATACATATGCATACTGAAAATAAACAAAACAAAAAATTACAAGTAATACCATACTATAAGTGATATACATACAGTGATAAAAAATTGAAATAAATAAACATTTTTTACAAAAAATATAACAACTTCCAATTTCAACAAATTAAAAAGAATCATCTATACAACATATTCAATTCAAAAAAACCATTTATTGCACCGCCAACTGTAATTACAGAACCAGGTAATCGTCAAACAAATTACCATTTTGATGTTCATTATTGTTTTCACCACAATTAGTATCATTTTCCATTGTCTACATCTTTGTTTACTAATTTATTTATACTACTATTTATTATACAACATTATTTATATTGCCAGGCAAACCTGTCTGGTGATTATGTAGTAATTTAAATAAAATAATAAAGTTGTTCTTGGAATATCATTATAAATTGAATCCCAAAGATTACGCTTATATCTTTTCTGGTTAATGCAAACTCAAATCACCATTTTATTTAGACAGCTTTTGAACTGTTTAAAAAAATATTAAATGCATATAAAAACTAAATATGTTATAAATCACATAAACGATGAACAACATTATTTATATCGCCAGTCAAACCTGTCATCTTATAATGAGTATAATTTATAATATAAACAAACTAATACATTATTTACATATTCTAATAATTTTGTTTAATATTAAAGAAAAAACATAATAAATACCCCTATTAGATCTAGTCGCTAACTAAATGCCGACTTGAATCGTCGTTTCAATAAAAAGACAAAAATAACTTAACAGAACAAAACATTTATCATAACATAAAATTATACTTTAATAAAGTAATGATTTGCAACTCTATACTCCATTTGAAAAAATTTGCAACTCTACGAGTTACAACGGCAACTTTATAAGCACATTTGTATAACCCATGGTGCAACATGACCTATGAAAAAAAAACCCATAGTTCAACCATGGAAGTTCCATATTATTTCAATCTTCATGGAAATTCACCCTTGGAAATTCCATAGAATTTCCGTTTTCCATGGGAAAACCATAGTTTACTTATAAAATTCCATATGTTTTCCATGGAATACCTATGGAATTCCGTGGAATATTTCTGTAAGAGAGCTTTCAGTTGTTTAGAAACAAGTCAGATTTGAAGTTCATTAAGTCAGATTAAAAGTTCAATAGGTCAGATTTGGTTTCTTTAAAAAGTATTACACCAAAGACTGCACTTGCTTTTGTCCTTTTATTTGCCAAAACCGATTTTTGTCATGAAAAAACTTTAAAAAATCAATAAGAATTACTTTTAGCTCATTTTACTTGGTGTACCAACAACATTTTTTTATACTTATCTTTAATTCTATCATGAATTCTTAATTTAAACACATTATAGCAATAAGAGACATCCAATATAACTATTAATTTTTTTGTTTCTTATATCTTTAGTAGCTAGTATAAAAGCCTCTCTTTTTCTGTTTTTATAAATTTAGGAATATGCATGTCTAGAAAGAAATTTACACTTATATATATATATATATATATATATATATATATATATATATATATATATATATATATATATATATATATATATATATATATATATATATGTACACACGTTTATGCAGTATATACATTTATTTATAATGCATAACTCATTAGCAATGATATATTATAACTCATTTTTACATATAGTTAATAATGGTTCGTCCTAATTTTAATTATCAAAAAAAAATTTAATTTTTTTTTCAATATTATTAATCACATAGCAACGATCAGCTTTTATCAACTAGATGCAACGTGATATTTGTTCTTTTTAATGTTTTAATTCCTTAAATTTTCTTTTGCACTATTCTATACTATGCTACAATGCACTATTTTTATAATGTTACCTTTTTAATATAGACAAAAAGCAAGTTCTATGATGTGTTTTTTATTTTTGTTTTGCAAAATAAATATCAAAAAAATAGAAACTCTTGAACAAATAAATACGTTTATATACAGTAAAGTTTATGTTAAATACCAAATCTTTTTTTTTTAGAAATGGATTGATAAAAAACAAGTCGTTTTATGAAAACGTAGTTGTTGATGTCAGCAAAAAAAAATGTTTGTACACAAAACGGAAACCAAACAGTTCTTGGCAGGTTTTATGTAATAAAGACGACGAGGATTGTTTGGGGACTTCAAAATGCAATCCAGTTTTTTGCGGTGGAACTGAATAAAAGCAACGGTTGTAGTGAATAAAATTTGCCGTCGTAAATAAAAATTTCGTAACACTTTGTTTGACATATTTTGAAAAACTTTTTTTTACTATTAATAGTTTCTATAAAAAAAAAAAATTATAAATTATTCTATTAATTTGCTGTTACCAAAACACTTTAGTCACAGCTACATTAACACTTTAATGTAGCCTACTCGGTGTAGTTAAGGCAGTTTACAAATTATTTGAATTTTATTTGGAATTAGCATGATTTTATCAGCGTATTATTTAATTTTTTTCGTTCAAAACATCAATTTTTTTTTTTCATAATTCACTGACCTGATTATTTAACGGAAATATATTGTCGTCAAAACAGACGCTAAAATGTTTTAAAAATACCTTAACTACACCGAGTAGAAGCTTTTTGGTCTTTAAGATTTGCCGAGAGTTTGGTATTTAATGAACAACTAGAATCGAGATTTAATTAATAATGAAAAAGAGATTTAATGAATGGCTAAAAAAGAGTTTAATAGTATTTAATGAAAAAGAGTTTAATGGTATTTAATGAATCTTGCAATTATTTCTTGAATGTTAATTTTGAATATTTGCAAATTTGCCATCAAATATTATCGGATTAAAATATTTGATATCAAATATCTTAGAATGAGATTACTTAATATCAAAGAGGTTTAAAAAATTCAATTATTTACTAATTAGATTAAAAACAATGAATTATTTTGTGGGACGTTTTTGATCTCTACATCTTATTTTGATTCTTTTTACAATAAAAACTCTACTTAATTATTACAGACATGTAATGATTTTTTTTTAATTTTTTTTTTATAAGTTTACATTAGTTGTCGTAGTAAATAAATTAATTTCACAAACAAAACAAGGTTTATGAAAGAAGATCGTACTGATCTTATCATCAGAATCTTTTACAAGCGCGTGTATATAAACTAAATCAAAACATAATCAACAAAATAAAACGTAATTAACAATAAAAGTTCTAAAAAAAATATAAAATTACAACTAAAAAAACCTGAATACATCATCCATTAAGGTAATTGCATCATTTGTATCAAGTTTATTTTTTTAAGTTATGTCAAAATTTCAAGTCCCTGTGAAATAGGCCGGCCTCCTAATTTCTTTATAATTCAGTTATTTGGAATTAGATTTGTGCATTAAGCATTTAATTTTTAATAAAATGTTATATCTCAGTCAACACATTACGTTGGGTCAAACAATGCAAGCAAACTTTATCGTAAAAGTAGGCAAAAGTAATTATTATTTGGTTATAAAAAATATTATTGATTGCATTCCAAACATACAATATCGAATGTTTATCACAAACCAGCAGTTGACGTTCGTTAACGTGTTTTGTCCTCTTTTTATTTTTTTTTTATTTTGTTATTTAGGTGCCACAAAAAGACCGGTCTTGTCACAGAGCACTGCGGAAGTGCATTTAACTAAGAAGTTCACGCCTCCTTCCTTAATAAGTGCTTGATTGAATCTATTTTGCCATACAAAACAGATTCAATCAAGCACTTATTAAATAGTTTAGAGAAAATCAAAAAAAACTCTGGAAAACACTTTTATAAGACTATGACAGGAATCTTGTCTTGACCACATGCCATAGAGTAGTTTTATTTAGATATAACTTTAGCGTTTGAAAATGGAGTGATTTGAATGTCTCACAACGGATTAACCTTTCTTACAGAAACGGCAGAAAAAGCCTTTAAATTCGAGGTACGAATTAGAAGGGCAGTTTTTTGCAAATAGTTCAAACTTATCCATGAATTAGAGATGCAATGTTAGACTTACCTTTGTTAATAAAACTGTTTTTAAGATTTAGGAGTACAGTTTTAATTTAAAGAGGTTACGTAGGAGTAGCATTTATCAGTGGAGAGAAAAAAGACATCAGCCCAAGGACCGTCACTTAGAAAATTATAAAATAAATCTTATTCAGCTTTAGAGTCATAACAATAATAGGGTAAACCTGAAGAAGAATTACGCTATGAAAAATCTATAAAGATCATTTCATGGTTGGCCCACCTAAAGGAAAATAAGGAGAAAATGAACATGTTGTAAAGTGAAGGTAAGTGATTAAGTTTGTCTGGAAACGAGTTACAAAGTTAACTATCTGAGTAAAGGATTGAGAAATACAGATGTTATAGGCAAGCAAGTCAAGTCAATTTTGAAAAAGCTAAGTTTTAACTGATGAAAAGTTATTTTTCAGACCACGATTATTTGTGATACATTGAAAAGTATATGCGGTGGGGATGGTTTTTTATGTTCAATATTTTTGATTACTTTGGGCATGGTTTAAATTTAAAGAGCACTTAAGTCATTTATAGTTAAATAACGGCATTCCAAGAAATGAGCTCTGCAGTTGTCTTAGCCCTGCTAATTAATCCAAAGTTGTAACTAAAGACTCCTTATGTGGCTTCGACTCTGCACTCAAAAAGCACTAAAAGGGACACAATCCACGCGCAACATAGTATTATTAATACTCTAATATTCTACCTATGATGATGGAATCAGCCTCTCTGAGGACTACAATAGAGTTTGGGAAACCTTATTACCAGCTGGTCTCAGAACCATTAAAATGAGTTTTAAAGCTGTATCCTTACTAAAGCTCTATCCTTATTAAGAGATAACAGGAAAAGTTGCATAGTTACTGTTAAGGAAATTTGTGAATAGAGTCAAGAAGGTCCAGCATTATCATCCTTAGCAGGAAACAATGTAACACAGGTTACGCCAGTCTAATGACACTTTTAAAGATGTTTATGCATAAATATCTCCAGCAATGACAACAGAGATACAAATAAAAGAAATACATCTGTTATTAATTGAGAATTAGACTATGCTAAGTTTTTCGTAACTTGTCTATAATCTGCAAAATGTACTTGACTCTTCTTGTTATATTTGCTAATGATGAAAGAAGTTTTATTTAACTAAACGTTAATAAAATTCATTTCGATTAATTACAGAAAAAAATGTTTTTCTGAATTAGCATTAATTTCAATTGAACGTGAGCTTGATGAGTCCATCAATATTGAATTTTCAAAAAATTGTTTTGTTTCAATCCTGCAGGTACAGACGTCTGTAAGACGTCTATACAACGACTTACAGACGTCACAAATCCGTACAACACATGTTCTAAATTTCTTTCTTAATGCCTGCTTTTAGTAATATGTTTGTCTGAGTGCATTTTTAAATAACTAAACCAGTAATATTACACCTTTTTTTTGTTAAGGATAATTGTTAACTAAATTAAACTTATAAAACTCGAGTTTTAGGTTGTTTAGTGTCATAAAAGTACGTATAACAAATATGATAAATGATAAAAGAAAAATAACAGCACTGACAAAATAGGTTTATCATAAGTAAGATAACCGAAAATAATTAACTTTTGGGGATTAATTTGATTGAATTTTTAACATCAAATTATAACTAGTTTAATATAAACATTTATTGTTTCTTGGTTTCTGTAATGAGCTGTTGCTACAGGTTTTATAACATCATTGCAATACTCAATCGGAGAATCCTTTTTACAATCTGCTTTTAAAATAAAAACGTCCACAAAACTATGATAAATTAATTAAAAATAAAAAAATGCTTAAAACAAAGAAATTCTGGCATTGGGTTTTATTAAAAGTATAATTAATTTATCCGGTATCATAGGTAACACATTGAATTTATTTGGGTTCATTTCCTGCAAAGTTATCTAATTACAACTTAATGCTTAAAAACTTTGCATAGCAACTTAGGGGAAACTTGGGTATAATGGAGTACTTAAGGAAAAGTCTTCAAAAAACTGGCAAAAATATTTAAAATAAAAACTTTTTTTTTAAATGACAAAATAAAATACAAACTACTATCTGACAAAAGAAAAAGTTAATTACATTAAATTAAAAAAAAAATTGTTTAGCATTTAAAAAACTTTGAAAAAAAAAAACATTTTGCCCCATGCTAGGGATAAAATGGGGTATACAATCTAACAATAACATATTTTGTAGACCTAATTCAATGTTTAGGCATAGTTCACAAACTAAACTTGTCCTTTTGAACTTTTCTTCTAAACCAGAATACAAATAATGTGCCCAGCTGTGGCAATCATTACAAGAAACCCAACTTTCAATACTAGTCGAGTAATTTTCTTGACAGTAGAGAAAGGAAGAGTCTTCCTCTGAATTCTTCACTATTTTCCTTTTTTTAGATGCAGTGTTTTGCCTATTTACTTAAGCATTTTGTTTTTTTATTGATACATAACTATTTTTGTTTCCATTTTGAGCCTTTTTCCTTTTTTTGATGGATTTCGCTCATTTTTACTCAGGGTTTCTAATAGCGAGCTCTATAGGGAGAGGAGGGTCATGATTACAGTTTTTTCTTTCTGCCTTGATAATCTCCTTTGCAGTGACTGCTTCGGATTTTGAATAATAAATCTTGGAAATTGAACATTTTGAAATGATGTGATAATGATAATGCTTGTGTTAGTTAAAATGCTGGAAGAAGTGGACATTACGCTGATAAAATCAGATGATTGGCTTGTAGAAGCGATTGTATAAACGTTAGAAAATTTTAGAAAAAAGCAGATACTTGGGTTGTAGGTATTACTGAATGACTAGTATTTACATATGGATGGCTGACAGATGCACAGAGGCGGTTAGTAATAGCCAAATCACATGTATCAGCAACAAGGTATGTGTATATATATATATATATATATATATATATATATATATATATATATATATATATATATATATATATATATGTTTAAAATAAAATAAAATTTTTTTTTTAAATTAAATGGAACCGAGAGAACTCTTTTACTCAAAGGTTTTCAAGTTTTATCAAAGATAAACCCTTCATAAAACTTGAAAACCTGTGTATAAACTGTTTATCTAGCATAGGAAAGAATCCAGAAATGGGTAGAGGGCTAACCTTAGACAACATGACAAATATAAAATAGAGTGCTAAGTGGCCTCTTGTTTGCCTTCTTATTAGTGCACTTGTTTGCACTTTATTAAGTGAGTTAAACTAGTATTAAATGTCTAATTCGTGAACAGAAAAGCCAAGACATATTTTTAATAAGATTTTTTTAACAGGTGATTACAATAATTAAGTATTAAGTAAACAGACTCTTTTGTCTCGTAAGTAGAAGAGGTTGAATTAACACCTTTCTCATCCTTCTAATTGTTTATTCCCATCTTTTAATTGTTAATTCGCATAACCCAAAAAAAATCATGCATCCAACTTTAAATTTACAACTTCCTCAAATCGAGGTTGTAAATTTAAACTGGTATAAATTCTAAACAACTTAATATTTTTCAAAAAAAAATAGAACCTTAACGATATTACCACATAATTTAGGATATTAGAATTTATATTTAGAAAAACCGATTTCCCTCATATTTGGGTGGGTGATGCCTACTTTTTAGGGTTTTTTGTTCCCAGTGTAGATTTTGGCAAATCACCTTAAATGACTAAAATAGTATAAAAGAACAAAAATTTGAAGTTTAGAACTTGCCTGTAAGTTATATAACTCAAATATCGAAAAATCTTGAATCCGCCCCTGATATATATATATATATATATATATATATATATATATATATATATATATATATATATATATATATATATATATATATATATATATATATATATATATATATATATATATATATATATATATATTAGGTAAGATGCATAAAGGAGTGCACATACATTAATACTGATGTATTGCTGAAATTTGCTATGTAATACTGACATAATTAGGTAGAATATGGAGGGAGTGTTCATGTAAAAAAATTTGTGGTAATTTTTAAAATATTTGTAATTTATAATTTATAATTTTTAAAATAATTGTAAAAAAATTTGTAAAGACTGTAAAATTTTAACAGATGAAAAAGCAACTATGCCTTTTGCCTATATAATTAGAGGCAACAAAGAAAATTATTTTTTTTAAGTTGTTGACCCATCATAATCATTTCTGCATAACTCACAGTTATCTAATTAGAAAAAGATTTACTAAATCTTCAATTTTTTCTCGTAAAGTTTCCATTTGCATTGCTATGAATCGAAATGGCATCGTTTTTTACAAATCCAGTATTAGGGCATTCAACGGTAAACTTTTTACTGATTATATTCAGGAATAGAAGGATAAAACTTCAAGAAGCAGGTATTTAAAAAGCAATATTTTTTATGTTTTCATAGAATGTTGAACTTTCAAAATGTTATTGATGGTCAGTTTAACTTTTTATATTAACTACCGTTTTTATTATTTCGCAATCTATTGAAAATAAGTTTTGCAAATGGAAAAAAATTATTAGTCAAAAAAATCCAACCTAACTTGGCTGAGCTAATTGCCGAATTTTCCAATGCTTCAAATCTTGTTACAAGCACGGACTGCACTTTCGCAATAAGAATGTAATAAGTAATAAGAATGTAACTAAAGTTTATTAAAAAATATTGTCAAAAGTCAAAAACACGTTTTCAAAATACAGTTATAAATTGTTGCTCTCAATTGTTTTGTTTGTTGTCAAAGTACAATTATACATTGTCAAAATACAACGATACAACGTTAAATTGGTGCGGAGCTCTGTAAACCTTGTCATAATCAGATAAATAATAAGTTGTAATGACCTATTAAATTTTATTTTTTCTGGAGTGTTCCGCAAGGTTCTCTTCAAAGGGCACTTATGCTCTTAATTTACATAAATGACTTCTAATAGGCTTCTTGCCTATAAATTGTTATTTTAGTAGATAATACCAACTTATTCTTTTTTTTAATGATATTAAATAAGATTAAGAGAAGAAACCGTTTGAACCACTAGAATGCGTTAATAAATTTTGTTAAATCAAAATGAATTATTTTTTATTCATTTGCTAAAAAGCGTGCGTTAGTTGTCACAAATCTATCTGAAATTTTTTTTTTTAATTTGTTATTTAGGCCCCAAGAAGTCCTAACGGTCTTGTCACAGAGAACCGCGGAAGTGCATTTAACCAGGAAGTTCACGCCTCTTTTCTTACCGTGACACGAAATATGTCCAATGTTCGTTTCGAACCTGGATCTCCTGCTTATATACCAAGCGCTCTAACCACTGCGCCACGGCCGCCTAAATTTTTTGATCAAATTTAGAATTACATAAAAACAACACACTTATACGTTTGTATAAAAGTATCCAAAATTATTGTGATCTTACAAAAGTTTAGAACTTATAAAAACGAAAAAAACTAATAAAAAAAAAAAAAATCAAACACACAGCTTTACTACTTATGTTTTAACAGTAAAATTATTTGCAAATACTGCCTAGGAAATCACAAGCAAAGTTACAATACCCTAAAACACGGTTTATTTTGAGTTAGTTTCATGTAGTAGAATAATTTTTATAGAAAAGCTTTAAAAAGAAAAAAACATACATTTAATTTGTACAAACTAAATGTTTGTTTTATATTTCATATATATGAATTAGAGTTTACATGAACATACACGTTCGTGTATTTGTTTATGCAAACTCTGGGTTTCAATAATGAATAAGTCCTTAAAAGAAATATATACAATAATAAAAATAACTAATAATAATAACTTCGTAAACAGATCCTCTTATAGAACAAAATTTTTTTTTCATAAAAGGTTTGATAAAAAATTATCTAAAACATGATTTTTTATGATCATATATTTTCATACATTGTCAAATATTTATTAGATATCTTTGATTACATCCTAATATTTATTACAACTTTGAATCAATTTAAAATATAATATATATATATATATATATATATATATATATATATATATATATATATATATATATATATATATATATATATATATATATATATATATATATATATATATATATATATATATATATATATATATATATATATATATATATATATATATATATATATATATATGTATATACTCTTGCATGTCTCTTGCATGGCATCAAAAAAAGTTTCCCATAAACTGTAGTTTTAAAGAGCGCGTTAATAAACCAGACCAGAAAAAGTTTTAAAAATTAAATTTTTTTTTTAATTGATAGACTGCCTGGCCAAACCAAACCCTCAGTCGATGTAGCATCACTCTCTTGCGAGTTAGGCTATTTGTCAGTCGTTGTAGCAGCACTCCCTTGCGAGTCAAGCTATTTGTCAGTCGATGTAGCAGCATTCCCTTGCGAGTCAGGGTATTTGTCAGTCGATGTAGCAGCACTCCGTTGCGAGTCAGGCTATTTGTCAGTCGATGTAGCAGCACTCCGTTGCGAGTCAGGCTATTTGTCAGTCGATGTAGCAGCACTCCCTTGCGAGTCAGGCTATAAGATAGTCGATGTAGCAACATTTACGCATGTTTTAAAAATGTTTTTTATTAAATCAATAACAAAAACACCACTAATTAAAAAAAACTTTCTAGTCGTTATAATTGCGGTTTTTTAAAAATTTTTTAAAAAACAATTAAATTTAATGTACTTCCGCATAAATTAATTGCTTTGACATTTCGATGACAATCAAAAACAGCTTAAGAGACGAGATAATTAAAATTGTAGTCAAAAGCAGTGTTGCCAACTGGCATTTTTTAATGCCAAATTTAGTAAAATTGGCATTATTTTAACATGTTGGCATTATTTGGCATTTTGGCATTATTTTGGCATTTTGGCATTTTTTTGGCATTTTTAAAAAAACTGTTGAATTGATTTTTTTTTCAGTTGGTTTGTATTTAATTTGTATTAGAACATTAAGCACAATGTCGAGGGTAAATTCAAGAAAGTACCTTGAAAAATGGGAAGCGGATTATCCTTGGTTTAAAAAAAGCTCTGATGGTACTGAATCAGCATTCTGTACCCTTTGTCGTGTGACTATACAACCACGGAAATCGTCTGTAGAACAGCACAGTGGTACTTTTAGACATGCTTCAAGAGAAAAGCATCTTAACACAAAAAGCCAGATTACGTTTCCTTTAGTATCAAAGAAAGCAGACTGTGAAGCAGATATTCATCTTGCTCTTTGCGTTTGTTGTCATGCACCCATTTCAACGATAAATCACCTTGGAGAAATCATTTCTCTTTATGGAAAAAATAGTCCCCTTGAAAACCTTCGTCTGCATCGAACCAAATGTACCCAAATTATTAAAAATGTAATTTCTTCATCAATCGAATCAAAAATTTCTGAATCAATGGCAGATAAACCTTTTTCCATCCTGATTGATGAATCAACTGATGTTTCTTTGACAAAACATCTTTGCATTTGTGCTCGATACTATTCAGATGAACAGAAATCAGTTATCGATGACTTTCTTGGTTTAGCTTCTGTGATATCAACCACTGGTGCAGATTTTTTTGCTGTTTTGGAAACAAAGTTGACGTCTGTTGGATTGTCTTTAAAAAACTGCATTGGGTATAGCTCAGACGGAGCTTCAAATGTCATTGGATTTCACAATTCGGTTTGGTCTCGTGTTCGGGCAGTCTCTCCTAATTGTATTTTAATGCGCTGTACATGCCACTCCTTGAACCTCATTGTTCAACATTCCTTTGAATTAATGCCATCAAGTGTTGGCTTTCTGCTCAGTGAAATTCCTTCATTTTTTTCAAAAAGTTCCATTCGACGAGAAGAGTTTAAAGTACTTTTTCAGACAATGGATCCAAGCAATGAAAGGATGGGAACTCCATCACCATTTCAAAAGTATTGGGAAATGTCTTTACAATTTGATGGTGAATTGGTACGAATTAAAAGCCTATTTCTTATGTGCTGAAGCTCAAGCTCCTGCTTGCATTAGGTATAGAGTTACAACAAGTAACAACATGTTCAAAGATGAAACTCTCTATCTTTATGTCGTCTTTTTGACACCAATTGTTTAAGAATTTGAGCGTTTGAATGCTTTTTTTCAAAGCACTAATGTGGATCCTGAGAAGCTAGTTTCAGAGCTAAACCTACACTACAAAAGTCTAAAACAGCGTGTTCTTGACAACCAAGGAGTTCAACTGCCTCTAAAACGTGTTGACTTTGGGGCAAAGTTTTTATCAGATTGCCAAAAATATATTGATACTTATCCTCAAACCCAAAAAGAAATGGCCAGAAAAAACATTGAAAGTGTTCTAACACGTTGTCTTCAATTTCTTTTGCGTCTTTTGAAAGAGCTTGATCAACGTCTACCTGAAAACAAAGAAATCTTTCAAGGTCTATCTTATCTCTCACCATCAAAGGTTCTGCATCAAAGTTCTAAAATGCCATTCACTCATCTGCCTTTAAGGCATATTATGAAGGATAAAGCGCAAAACATTGAAGATCAGTACAGAAAAGTAAGTTTGGTTGACTGGTCTTCTACGGAGCTGTTTGAAAATTCTTGTATACCAAAAGATACAACTGAGTTCTGGACTGCAGTTCGCCACTACAAAAATACATCAGGAGATGCAGCATTTAAAAAACTAGCAGACTATTGCCTAACTTGTCTTGTTCTCCCTATATCAAATGCTATTGTGGAACGTATTTTTTCTCAGGTCACCTTTGTTAAAAACAAACCAAGAAACAGAATGTCAGACAAATTGCTCAGCAGTGTAGTGCGAGTAAAAGCCTACCTTGCTAGCCGCAACAAATGTTGTAAAGACTTTAAAATCAGTGACAAAATGTTAACTAAATTGGGAACGGACATGTATTTTGACGATGCTGAATTAGTCGAAGATGATCTCACTCTAATTAATGATTTAAACTAAAGGAAGTTTGATATTGAGACATTTTTTATAATTCTTTTAACAGAATTTGAAATTTTCTTTAACTCATATTTTTTAACTTTAGATTTATATTTATTTGAAAGTTGAGTGAACATACTTATCTATTTAATAAATACATAAATAATCTATGTTAAACGTCGTTTTTTTATTGAAAAATATATAAAAAATATGTTAAAACTGATTAATATATGACTTTTAAAATAGTTTTATTGAATATATAGTTAATAAATAAGGTTCAATGTTTTTTTATAAAGTTTTTCTGCTATTTTAAAAGTTGGCATTTTTTTTGACATTATTAATAAAAATTTGGCATTATTTGGCATTTTTTAGACAAGCATTTGGCATTTTAGCGCAAAAAAAATCTGGCAACGCTGGTCGAAAGAGACTTTTTTTACATTAAACGACTCTTTCGACTACACTATAAGGATATATATATATATATATATATATATATATATATATATATATATATATATATATATATATATATATATATATATATATATATATATATATATATATATATATATATATATATATATATATATATATATATATATATATATATATATATATATATATATATATATATATATATATATATATATATATATATATATATATATATATACTAAAATATTTCAATGAAAATAACTAAGAGTAAAAAAACTGTTCTAAATTAATTTAAAAAACTGTTAACTTATTAATAACATTTTTACATGCTGTAAATGCCTTCATTATAAGTTAATAAGAACAACAACAACAAAGTATAACTTTTGGTGAGGTCACTGAGGTCGTATCGCATAGAGCATCGCGGAATGCATTTAATCGGAGTTTACACCTCTTTTCTTACAAATGCTGCATATATGATCAGAGCCAGATTCAAACTACTAACTTCCAGTTCTGAAGCCAAAACTCTACAACATAACACGGCACTAAGTCTGGTTACTTTATTTATATTAAAAATACTGCAAAAAAATTTTTCAGTATTTATCAACAATGTTATACATGTTAAACACATTTATCCAAGATGTGAGATGTGTGTCATTTCGCATATGTGTGAAATGAAGGAATTTTTCAAAACTCTATGTTCTTGGTCGTAAGCCTATGATTTAAATTTTTACATTTTTAAAGTACCATTTTCATAAGCTTTCAAAGGTATATTCTCGGAATCTAACTTGACAGTATCTCGGATTTTTGCTAACAGTGAGGGAGTTTTAGAAAGAAGGCTTGGTATAGGGTTAGATTTGCTCCGGTTAACTAAAAAATTCCAAACTATCTTCATTTAGCAGTAGTATCAACACATTAGAAATTGAACAATGAAATTCTTTGGTGCAAAAATTCCAACTTTGACAACCTTCAAATTATTATAGCTATATATTTTAAGTTACATATATTTTTAATTATCTTAAAATTAATTTATATTTTTTAGTTTCCAAATTTCTATTTGATCAACAATATGTGTGATGTACTTGTATTTGTGATATTTATTATTATAAAACAAACTGTAAAGCAAATTTGTTTTTAACATAGTAAGATAATTTATCAGTAAACTAAGAAATGTTTATTCAACATTCACTTGGGGGTAAGATTTATAGTCGACGGGCCCTAGTATTTTTTCTGTGTCAAAGTAACAACATCAGTTTTTGCTATGTCTTATAACATTTTTCCAAAAACATCTGTAAATATAAAAAGGTGTAACTATATATGTTTAACATCTGTAAATACACTGGGGTATAATTACATCTGCCCAACATCTGAAATTTCATTAATGCTAACATCTGTATAAAAAGTACTAGATTTTTTCCAGATGTGGAATGACATCTGGAGGATATTTTTTCAGATGCAATGACGTCTGGAGGATATTTTTTAAGATGCAATGACATCTGGAGGATATTTTTTCAGATGTAATCGGACTGGGAGAAAAATTACCAGATGTAGTCACATCTTCCTAAAGATGTTGTTGAGAGTCATTGAATTTCCTGATATCTACTGATATTGTTGTACATATATAGTAATCTTTTACTTTTTTTTACACTTAATTTAGTTTTAGTCAGGAATTTATATAAAAACTATTTTAAATAAGTCGATATACTTTTTTATTATCAAAAAACTTTTATAAATTTTTTTATAAGGTGGCATTTATAGTAAGGTAAAATTTATAAGGTGAAAATGATTTCACAGTAACTTAAGAATATGGAAAAAATATAAAATCTCCGGCTTTTTTATAAAAAAATATATTTAAAAAGTATTTGTTTTATATAAAAATACATAACTTTAAGATTTTATAAGAAAATACATAATATTTAGACCTTTGAAAATACAAAAATTGTATTTAATAAATGCATCAAAAAGTGCTGCAACACAAACAAAGTTGTTGAAGCGTCGTTACAAAATCTTAGCATCTTCGAATTTTGATACAAACCACTGTTATATATAAAGAGTAAAAGTTACATGATGTTGTAAAATTTCGTCAGAGCAAAAATAAATAAATAAAAATTAAATTTGATTAAAGTCAAAGTTTAAATATTATTACCTTAGCAACAGCATCCGTCTGCAGCGTAACAACGCGAGAATTAACTGTTTTTTTGAAAACTGATTTTCGATGAACCTGAAATTATCAAAACAAATAAGTTTTATTTCCAAGATAAAACAAATAAAGCATAATTGCAACTAAATAAAGAGATTCGTTTAAAAAATCTAGTTCAGGCCGTTTTCAAAATAGAAGACAGGGAGTTGTTACTGCAATGCCGCAGTAGATGTTCGGTAATTTAAACTCATTTTATATTAAAACCAGGAGTTATTTCAAAAAATAAAAACATTAATTGTCAATGTAAAGCATTTTTTTATTTTTGCGAAGTGATTTGATTATATTTAAAAAACTAAAAAGTTAAAAAATAATTCCTTAAAAATGATACCGGTGAATTGAGATTGAATGTAATTTTATTTCCATCAATGACTGGATCATCTTTTATTTCTGAAAAGCCAAGCTTCCATGAACTTTCCCATTCATGTAAAATTTCATTGCGGTTAACTAAAAGTATGCTTCTAAAATAAATTATTACAAAAATTCGTTTTAATATTTTCATAAATTTAGTGCTGATAAATCAAACTTAAACAAAAAAAAAATTCAAAAATTATTTTATAAAGTTTTATATAAATACATCTTATAAACATATTTCTTCCTGTTAAATGTTTCAAACCTGTTTTGTCACAAACAACAGATTTTTTTTACAAGAAACTTGTACAAGATTTTTTAAAGTATCATGGAGATTTTGAAAAGATTTTTTTTATTGCTAAGGTAAAAAATGCCAGGACCAACTATTTGACAGCATTCTGAGCAAAATATATTTCTTTTTTTTTAATGAAACCGTTTCAGTTTTTTTGTAAATGAATTCAGAAAGATTAGGTTCACGACTAAAATTTATAATTTAGTTAAATATGCCCATATACCCACTCATCAACTTTACACATGTCATACATTTTTATCAATGTTGCACGTATTACACACATTTATTAATGTTCCACATGTTATACACCTTCATGAAAGTTACAATAAAAGTTGCTAATTATTACTTATATTATATTAAAAATTGGTGTCACTCCTTTGATCAGATTTCTGTATAAGTGACACCATCCTAATAAATCATTAACTTATTATTATATTAATATTAGTTATTATCATTTATTAATTATTTATTAATGTTAGTTATTATTATTTTTTCATTGTAATTATTGTAAACATATTTGGGGCTCACAGTGGCTGGTGAACTTTAATTCAGATAAAACTCAATTTTATTCGGCCAATCGTTATCGTAATAATTTAGATCTTCCTATATTTATGAATGGTAATGTACTAGATGAGTCATCTACCATTCATCTTCTAGGATTAACTCTTACTTCTGATCTTTCTTTTAAACCGTATATCAAATCCATTGCAAAATTAGCATCTGCTAAGGTTGCATCTCTTTATCGAGCTCGACACTTTCTTACTCCAGATTCTATTCTCTATCTCTATAAATCTCAAATCCGTCCCTGTATGGAATACTGTTGCCACATCTGGGGCGGATCTTCTAATGATGCTCTTTCTCTTTTAGACAAGGTGCAAAAACGAATTGTAAACATAGTTGGACCTGCTCTGGCAGCCAATCTCCAACCTTTGTCACATCGTCGTAATGTTGCTTCTCTTTCTCTTTTCTACAAATACTATAATGGGCACTGCTCTAAAGAGCTAGCGTCCCTTGTGCCATCTACTAAAATTCATTCTCGTGTTACTCGCCATTCAATTAAGTCTCATCCTTTTTCTGTGACTGTTCCTAAGTGCTTCAAAAACTCTTATTCTTCTAGTTTTTTTCCTCGAACTTTGGAAGTTCTTTGGAATTCGCTTCCTTCATCTTGCTTTCCTGATCTTTTAAGTCATCAGTCAATCGTTATCTTGCTCTACAGATTTAGTCTTTTCTCTTCCAGTAACTTCCAACTCTTATAGTGGTTGCTTGCAGCCTTGTTGGAAGTGAAGATGTTAAAAAAAAAAAAAAAAAAAAAAAAAAAAAAAAAAAAAAAAAAAACATACTTATTATTACTATTACTATAATTTGTATAATTATTTTTTTTATCTAATGTTATTTTTATATATTTTTGCTATTATTACTATTATTATTATTATTATCATTATTATCAAAACTATTGTAAAATGATTTACGGAAAATAAATAGCTTGTTATTGTTGTTGTTGTTGTTATTGTTAACACATTCATGAAAGTTACACATGTTTCACACTTTCATCAAAATTACACATGTTATACACGTTCATCAAGTTACACATAATATAAACGTTCATCAAAATTACACATTATACACATTTATTATAGTCACACATTATAGACATTTATCAAAAATATACTGTTTAAATGGAATCAAATTGCTAATGATACATTTAAGAAAAAGATTTGCACATAATACGACTATCTGAAAATGAATAAACGTACTGTCTAGCATGCATAGGTATTTTAATGAAAAGATATGGTTCCCCAAAACATTAGCAACTTTTTTATAACTACTAAAAAATGACCAAATATATAACCATTCAATAAAATTTTTTTGGTATAGATACAATGAGTTAATCAATTTTTTTCTAGTGTAATCTCATTTCGTGTTGCTTCAATAGCTTTATATAGCTTATCAGCATTTTTTGAAAGGTCTTTAATGTTTTAGAGAAAGTTCTATTTGATGTCAAAAATCAGATTGAGATCAAGGGTGATTAAACCATTTCCTCAATTTGGTTCATTTCAAACTATTGTTTAATGAGTTGAGACATGTATTTCGGGTTGTTGCCTGTTTGAAATTTTTATAGAAGAGGCATATTACCACCCTAAAAAACCATATTTCTCTTCAAGAATATCACGATAAACCAAACAAATCATAATGACATTTACTCAATGGATAGGTCCAACTACATTAAAACCAGAAAAACAAACCTAAATCATTACACTTTTTCCACCACAATGCTTTACTGTTCCTCTTTTGTATTTAGGATCTAAATGTTTACCTTTAAGTCTATCGAGCTTTAAATTGCCATCAGTACCTTTTATACTTTGATTGTTCTCTCCTCAATACGTTTTTATAATCATTAATAGTCCAGTGTCTAAAAGCAATTGAAAACTCTTTTTCTGGCTTTTTTAAAAAAAAAATATTAAAAAACAAGTTTATGTAAGATAAAATGCCTATATTTTTTTTTACTAAGTGAAAAACATAATCACGCAGATCTCATCTTGTAATCAAACGTCTTTTATAGTATTATGAAACAATATTTTTTTACTAAATTATTTATTTTAATGGTGTAAACAGGATTGCTAATAAAGTAATAAAGGTCGATTAAAGGCTAGAGAGGTTTAGTAAAGGCTTCAGATGGTTTCTCAATAAAAATACTTATCTTAGGCAGATGTTAAATGCATCCGGTTGCTGTCTTGTAAAAGGACTAAGGGATAAACAGACTCTATATGCTGACCAGCCTCACAACCCTTCTTCATCTATTCAACATCCTAAACCGGAATCAATGTATTTTTAATACATTGATTCCAGTTTAGGATGTTGAATGATGGATCTTCTTGACTCAATGCATTTTGATTGTGTCTCTGTTTTTATGACTAGGCATTCTATTATCTCCTAATGAGGTTACAACTCTAAAACTTAGTTTTATGGTTCTGAGGCTGGTTGGTAGTCAGTTTTCACGAACTCTGTGGTAGCTCTCAGAAAGGCTGATTACATCAACAGCTGAAAAATATAAAAGTATTAACAGTGTCATGTTGTGCATGGATGGTGTCCCTGTTCATACTTCTGGTGTGTATTGTCGAGGCCACATTTGAAGCCCTTTGTAACGGCTAAGGGTTTATTAATAGTAATGAGGCAATTATTTGGGCTATTAAACAGTGTACTGAGTACTGTCTATGCTTTGAGTCAAATTCTTTAAAAAATTCAAAAATGAATAAAGTACGAAAAACTATAAAATACAAAAAATCATCACCAAGTTCTCTAAACCTATCATTCACTAATATTCGTGGTCTTTGAAGTAACTTTTCTTCTGTTAAACCTTATCTCTTGCAAAGTTCACCAGATCTACTTGCTCTTTGTGAGACTAATTTGAGTTCAGCTGTCTCATCTTGTATAGTTTTATAAAGACTCCAATAGTCACATGGTTGGCCTGGGCATTTACATTCATAAGAATTCACCAATTTTTGGGAAACTAGGTTTGAATCGACAGACTATTCTTTTATGCGCTTTTGATTAGCACCACTTCACACTACCGCTTTTCTCTTTGTTCTATATTTTTTTCCTTTTCCTCAAGGCTGCACTCTTTTTGATGTTATTTCTGATCAAATGGACCAAGCCCTCTTTCTTCAGCCAATATTGTTGTTGTTGGTGACTTTAATGCTCAACACACTAAATGGCTTGGCTCTAGTGTCAGTGCCTCTGCAGGTGTTAAAGCCCACAACTTTTGCCTTTCTCAATCTCTAACTCAAATAGTCAACTTTCCAACTCGCTTTCAAAACAACCCAAATCATTTACCTTCTCTACTCAACTTATGTCTTGTTTCTGATCCTAGTCAGTGCTCAGTTTCTCCACATTCACCCTTAGGTGCTTCTGATCACAGTTTGATCTCTCTAAAACTATTATCTCATTTTTCTTCATCATGTGAATCCTCTTATCATTGTACCTCTTACAACTACTTTAAAGCTAGGATTCTTTCTGTGATTTTCTCGGTGATGACCCTTGGGTAGAAATCTTTCATCTTCATGCTGATAAATTTGTCTTTCATAACTTAGTGGATTAAAGTTGGCATGGAATTTTTTATTCCCTCTCTACAATTCCAGGTCAAGCCTTACTCTTCTCCATGATTTTCTTCACATTGTGCGGCAGCAATTTCCAATCGAAACCATTACTTCTATATCTATCAGCAAATAAATTCTCCAGAAAACAGGCGCCTGTTTATTACTGCGAGAAACCATTGTAAAAAGTTCTAACCCCAAAGCCTGCTATTCTCAGGTCACGAAATCTTGTATTTCATCACAAAAATTAGGTTTTCGTGACTTCTGGAGAATCTTTAATAATATTAATAAAAAGGGCAAATCTATTATTCCATGTCTCTTGTATGGTTCAGACTTTGTCACCCTAACTAAAGACAAATCCAAATTGTTTACTAAGAACTTTTCAACAATATCACCTCTTAATTCCACAAGTTGTGTTCTACCTGATATAGCCTTCAAACAGGTTGATCCATTGCTTGGCATTCGTATCACTCCAGCTTCTGTATCTAAAGTGATTTCATCTATTATCTCTATTTTCAAAAATTCTGGAGAGCCTTTTGATTGGTTTAATTACCGTCTTCTTCCATTACATTAACATCTTCTTCCATTACATTAACATTAGTCTTCTTTATATTATAAGCAAGGTTTTTCAACCTTTTATTAACAAACACTTAATCTCTCATCTTGAATCTAATAACTTACTTTCTGTTCATCAATATGAATTTCAATCTTCTTTTTCTACAGCTGATTTGCTAACAGTAATAACCAATAGGTTTTATCTTGCATTAGATAGAGGTGGAAAGGTTAAGGCTATTGCTCTTCACTTTATCAAAGCTTTTTATAAAGTTTGGCATGCTAGTCTCCTCCATAAGCTTTTTTTCTTACAAAGTGTCTAGTAACATCTTTAAGATTATTGAATCCTTCCTATCCAATTGCAGTATAAAAGTTGTCCTCGATGGACAGCACTCTTCTTCATATCCTGTAACTTTAGGGGTTTCTCAAGGTTAAATACTTGGTCCTATACTCTTTTTAATTTACATTAACAATCTTCTAGATATTCTCACATCCAAAGGGGTATTGTTCACTGATGATACTACCATTTATTTTTGCCATGATAAGAAGCCATTACACTCTGATTGCTTCAAGGGGGCATTTGAGCTTGAAAAGAATCTTACTTCTGCTACAGCATGAGGCTCACAGTGGCTAGTAAACTTTAATTTAGATAGAACTCAATTATTTTCAGCCAATCATTATGGCAATAATTTAGATCTTTCTATATTTATGAATGGTAATGTACCCGATGAGCCATCTACATTTCATCATCTAGGATTAACTCTTACATCTAATCTTTCTTGGAAAACATATATCAAATTAATTGCAAATTAACAACTTCTAAGGTTGCATCTCTTTATAAAGTTTGACACTTTCTTACTCTGGATTCTATTCTCTATCTCTATAAATCTAAAATCTATCCTTGTATGGAATACTGTTGCCATATCTGGAGCAGATCATTCAATGATGCCCTTTTTTTTTTACAAGGTGCAAAAATGCATTGTAAACATAGTTGGACCTGCTTTTGCAGCCAACCGCCAACCATTATCACATCGTTGTAATGTTGCTTCTCTTTCTCTTTTCTAAAAATACAATAATGGGCACAGCTCTGAAGAGCTAGAATCTCTTCAATCAAAAAAATTATTTATTTCAATATTTTCCTAATAAATTATTTATTTTAATATTTTCTTATCAAATTTTTTATTCAAATATTTTCTTAATAAATTATTTATTTCAATTTTTTCTTAATAAATTATTTATTTCAATATTTTCTTAATAAATTATTTATTTCAATATTTTCTTAATAAATTATTTTTTATAAGGTTTAACTTAACTTATTGAAGTCATTTTAAAATAAGCTTAACTTATTAACGTCATTTTAAAATAAGTTTGAAAATTTGTATCTTGTAAAAACTTCATAAATAAAAAAAGGTTTAAAAAAATAAAAAAAGGTTACAATATTTATTATATAAAAACAACTTTCTGTTATTCAGCATTAAACCTAAGTAATTTATATATGAGTTTTAAAATAATAAAGGTCAAAAGTTTCAAAAATTTATTTATATAAAGTTTATGAAATTTTCAAAATTTCTAAAATTTATATTTGTGTACATTGTGTGGTAAAAATGCATACTATGTAGTTAACCACATGTCAAATTAAATGCTGCGTATAAATTCGTTGAACTATTCTTTTTTTTAATTTAAAAGTGAAAAAAATGTTATTAACATTAGGTGTAAAAATAACACAACTCACGTGTTTGTCAAAATAAGATAACTTTTTAAATCTGCAAGGTAGATATGTACCATATAATATTCATTTTTTGCATAACGCCCTTTATCAGCTTCCTTCATTTTATAAAAGAAAAGAAACAGATTTATAACCCAGTGTGAACATGAAAATGAAAATATATATTATAATACTTTAATTCTATCAAATATTAATAAATACCATTAATATTTGATTGCCTTCAGCTTCATATTCATTAAAAGCTCGTAAAACCTATAAATATAAGTATTTTACAAATACAAGCATATATAAATAAAGATTATTTTTGTAAATACCTTGAGATACTATCTATTATGAATAAAATATCAACTTTTAATGGTTCAAAATTTTTGTTTAAAATACAAATAAATAAAGTTGGAAAAATAATTTAGAAGTGCCATCAAGCAGATGACATAAGAAAATTTAAAAAAATGAATAAAAAATTAGAGCAAATGTCACCAAATTACATAAGACATGAGAAAATTTAAAAGATCGTAAAAATATGAAAATATCATAATGAGGAACATTGATGGTAAAAAATATGATAAAGAATATTACAAATACTTTTTACCATATTTTTTGAATATGTAATTATTTATTAATCAAATTATTAATTCTTAAGTCAACTTAACATAAATTATGATAAATATAATGAACATAAATTATGATAAAAATAAAAAACATAAATTATGATAAAAATTATTATTAATTATTATATTGAATACCAAAACATATAATAAACTTTTATAACCTTGTCGGCATGAAAAACCCTTGGTACACGATTATGAGATATACGTTTTACACCACTTGTTGTGCTGTTATAAAAAAGAAATTAAAATTAAAATACTAAAAGGATAAAAGATAATATTTTTTAAGGTTAAAAAATAAAATGCAAATCTTCTAAAAACTTAATTAAAATATTTTATAAAAAAAATTAATGGTAAAATTGATACTTTCATTTGAAGAAAAATAATTTTAAATCTTTTTTTTAGCTTAATAAAGAAAAAACCTTTTAAGACCATCAAATGTGCTACTGGCCATGTCTACCACACCTCCAACTGGTCTTGCAACAACACCTACTAATCCTTTCCCAATTCCTTTAATAAAACCAGTTGCACCTTCTGCTTTTGCACCTAGCAGTAAAACACTTTTAATTAAAATATTTTTAATATAAGTTTCAAAAAATGTGTTGAAACTCTCCCTGAAGATTTTTCTACTATAAGACTTTTTAATATATACATCAACCATATTTATATTATTATTTGCATTCATATTATATACTAAAGCTACCCCTAAAAAAGTGGAGTAGGTAATAAAATCTTATTTGTTTTATAAAAAAAAAAAAAAAAACAAAAAAAAAAAAAAAAAAAACAAAAAAAAAAAAAAAACAAATAAAAACAAGTTAAGTATTTTTCTATAGACACATAAAATTTACCTTCATAAGGTTTTACTACAATACCAGTGACACCAGAAAAAATACCCTAAAACATATTTTGATTAAAAATACTAGATAAAGAAAAAAATAATGATTAAAAAGCATATAAACAAAAAATCATAATTAAAAACCTTAACCAAACCCTTTCCACCTTCTACAAGTCCTTGGCCAAGATTGGTAGGTTTTTGACTCATTCTTTGTCTTCTTTTTTGCTGATATTCATCATCCATAGTCAGAGCAGCCAAACCTTTACCAACAGTTCCTGTAATCTTAGATACAGCTCCTGAGACACCACCTTAATCATAAATATTATGAGTCAAAAATATTAATAGCATTTCATATTTTCAACTAAAAAAATAAATAAAAAAAAAGCCTATACCAACAGTTCCTCCAACAAGACTTTTAACACCATATGCTAAACCTTCAGCAAACTCTTCTGGTCCTTGAATTAAGCCCTTAAAAGTTAAAAAAACAAATTATAGGTCAAAATATCTCATTGTATGACGTTTTGAATAGAAAAATTTGTATTGTTTTGATTTTTTCTCAAAATAATCAAATTATAAAAAAAAAAAATTACTTGATATGGTTCATAGAAAAAATTCTTTGCACCAGCTCCAACACCTGTTATTAAACCATAAGGATTTCCAAGAACATCCAGACCTAATACTAATACATATAATTGATTGATAGCCTATAACAAAAAAACATAAAGAACTTTTTTAAGTTGTTTATCTAAATTTTAATGCTATTATATTATTTTATGAGTCATATATATTAATTAACGTAAATTTAGCTGCACATGAAATGCCACTAATGATATCATATTTAAACAGCTATTTTAAAAACATACATAAACTGAGAATTTGGGTTGTCAGTATCTATGTATAAAAGACATTTTGGTAGTTATATGGCAGTAGGATCTCACTAAAACATAACTTTACGGAAGAGAAAAAACAAAGTTATAAAAAAGAGATATTTCAACCAATTTTTGCTTAAATTTCAAACATTATACATCAAAATGAAGGAGTTCCAACTATTTAGAGATAAACCCTTTCGTCACACCATAGAGATAAACCTTTTGTCACATCATAGAGATAAACCTTTTGTCACATCATAGAGATAAACCTTTCATCACATCATAGATTATTTTTGAGCATTTTATGAAAGAAACTTCAAAAACACAAATATGTGAGATATTGTCATGTAACTACAAATTTATTATAGCTAAAAAAAAAAATTTTTTTTCAATCTTTCTTAAAGATTTAAAAAGTGCTGTTATCATTTTTATCACTTTTACTTTATTAAATAGTTAAACAATAATTAAATTCCCTTTTACCTCATTATTAAACAGAGTGGTTACTCTTCCCTCATTATTAAATAGAGTGGTTACTTTTACCTTATTATTAAATAGAGTGGTCACTTTTACCTCATTTTTAAATAGTCACTCAATTTAATATGATATCAAAATTTAATAATGAGGCAAAAGTAAACACTCTATTTAATAATGAGGTATTACTGTGTATTTTTATTCTGCTAAAGTATTGTCAATAATTGTTGAATACCTGACTTTGGTAATGTTTCATGATTTCACTGGTTAACTGAGAGCTACTTAGTAGCATCGAATTAACTTCAAAACAAGCTAACCTAATAATAATAATAATAAAAAAAAACAAAGGGGTTTTACTTGAACAGTTACTTGAATAACTGAATTTAAATAACTGAAATAAAAATAATTTGAAATTAAAGCTTGAAAAAAGCTTACTTAAACTCAACATCTTGAATTTCTGTAAAAGCAACTCCAACACTCTGCAAAAGTAGATTTAATACATGTCCGTGTGCAATAGTAGAGTCACTTCCTTCAATAGAATGACCACCAGTCATTGAAAAGCTAACATGAATCTATAAAACAAAAAACAACAAAATGATAAAATATCTAATAATGTGAAAGAGTGACATTTAAAATTATCTTCCAAAAACTAATTTTTCAACCATTTCAATCTTAAAACCAGTCTTGAAGCAACTAACTGTCATCAATTTGAATAAAATACAACAGTAATCAATATCATCAAATCAGTATAAGTGTTTAAAATAAAGCATGTTTTTTTGTAATTATGTATAATATATTTATTGTTAAGCAAATGCTAAGCAATTTTTCGAATTGAAAACTATTTTAAAAACATTTTTTTATTTTATTGCGATTGTGTTTTTTGTAATTAACTTTTCGTATTTCCATTTTTTTTTTAAATGAAAAGACTTGAACATTTTAAAATCTGACAATATTTTTATCAGTCCATAAAATAAAACACAACCCAATCTAATAATTGAACTATATAAAGTTAAAGAAAAAATGCTTTTAATAAGTAAACCATTTTGTAACTTTTAAAATATTTTGTAACTTTTAAAATTATTTAAAATATTAAAAGTTATTTTTAAAAATATTAGGCCAGTTAAGACTAAGCCAGTTGTTCTTTTTTTTTGTTCAAGATGATATGCAAAGTAAGTCATCGTCCATATAACTTTTTAAAAACACAAAACAAAACTTTGTGAATTGTATTTTTGCTTGGAATTTCCCAAAAACAACCCCTATCACATCTTTTCATTGAGATTAGTTTATCTAAAAATAATAGCAACAACAGAAAATTTGTTTTCTTCATTTAAAGTTTGGTAATATTTAATAAAAGTTGTTAATAATGAATCACAACTGGTTATTTTATAGCTTATTATGAAACACAATTAATTATTTGAAGTTCATTATAACAATTGTTTACTTTGATATTGAAAAACACAATTGATTTTGAAGTACATTTTGTTATATGCTATAAAATAGGTGTGTCTATCGTTAGATTAGGGTATTTGGCAATTCAACATTTAGAGTATTTTATCGTTAGATTGGAGTATTTGGCAATTCAACATTTAGAGTATTTAATCGTTAGATTGGAGTATTTAGCAATTCAACATTTAGAGTATTTTATCGTTAGATTGGAGTATTTGGCAAATCAACATTTAGAGTATTTTATTAAACTATTAAGTTTGCCTAATAGTTTAATTAAAACTAATTCACATTTAATTTTACAACGCAACATCTAGTAACCCTCATCTTAACAACCCTCATCTAGTAAACCTATTCTTAACAATCCTCATCCATTATTTACTAGTAATAAACTCTATTACATTGAGTTTATTAATATAAAACATACCTTTAAAGGGGAAAGGTGGAAAAAATCAAAGACATATCTTTTGTCTTTCTTAGCAGCCTAAAATATTATAAAAATAACATAACAATTTGAAGAAAATAATGGAAATAAAATAATATCAAAAACTACTATGCAAGGTAATAATCAAAATTTGACCTGAAATTCAGGACTATCTTCTAACTTTTGAAGAACTATAGACATGTCATAATTATATCGCATAATCTAACAAAAGTAAATGAGGTTTATTCAAATAAAATTCAAAAATTATAATTTATATAAATAATTAAATTTTAAAAATTTATATAAATTTTATTATTGGAATTTCGAATTATATTGAAATAATATATATACAAAAAATTATATATTGAATTATATATCAAATTATATATTGAAAATTATATATCGAATTACATATTGGAATTATATTGAAATAATATATATATAAAAAATTATATATTGAATTATATATCAAATTATATATTGAAAATTATATATCGAATTATATATTGGAATTATATTGAAATAATATATATATAAAAAAATAATATATTGGAATTTCGAAAAAAAAAAAAAATAATATAAATATAAAATTTATATAAATATTATATAATTTATATAAATTTATAAAATTTATATAAATAAGAAATCTTTAGTATGTCTTTAACTAAAAATGACTGTCATGACAACAGCATATATATTATAATAATGAAACAAAAAATAATGTATCTTAAAAATATTCCAGAAGAACTTGTGAATAAAAAATAAAACAGACGAAGAACAATTTTAACAGAAATTTTTTGTTTTTGAAAAGTACCTCAGAACCTCTTATTTTATCATTGCTAAGTAAATCCATCACAGAAAGCAGCAACCCTTTATCAACACGAACATCCATTTCTTGGATGAGAACCTTCAGATAGCTAAAAATACCAACACAATAGTTTTTAATAGAAAATTAAAAAAATTCATGATAATTAATGCTTTGTTTATTATTATATATTTTTTTTTTTAGCTTAATATATTAATACCTGATTTGATGAACTTCATTTTCTTCACCAATGCTTGCAGTTAAACTCAGCTCAAAGAAAGGTTTTGGTGCTTTTTAAAAATAAAATTTTATAAACATAAATAATTTCATTTTTATTTATATAATTGTATTAATGAAAAATATGGCTAAACAAAAAAAGTTATAATTACAAATTTAACAAATTATTTCTTTAATCACCTACCACTATCACTCGCAACAGATTTTGGTGGTTCCACTACATGCAATATAGTCATAAATGTTGAGCCTGGGATGTGACTGTCAAACTGCACATAAAAAGAAAAGACTAACATAAACAGTAAAAAAACCATCAAAACTACTTATATTTTGAATCAAATTAATCAAAATAACTTATTATATTTTGAAATTATTACTTTTTATGAAAATAGAAGCAAATTACAAGCAAACAATTTACCAACCAAACCAAACAACTTTACTGTATTATGAAAACCAATCACAAGCAAACAATTAATTATGAAAAAATATAATGCAAACAATTCTTCTCTCTTATAGAAACTTATCACAAGCAAATATTTATCATCTACCATCTCATCTTGCTTTTGCTGTATAGCTTATATTATTTACTCCTTTATAATATTTATATCTTATAAAGATTTAAATACATTCTTAATTTAAAAGAATTTACCTGTAAAGAACTTAGTGTAGCGCTGACTTGCATTCGATTCGGAGAAATTATATACTTAAATCCAAAACCACTATGAAAAGTTCTACGAATTTTAATTTTGTCAGGTTTTGTAATAAACATTTTTTCAAAATCAACCTACAAAAAATAAATTAATAAATAAAATTTCAAATAATAAAAAACATGTTTTAGGAAAAAAGCAACAACACTAACTTCTGAAAAAAACTTAAATAAAAACAGGTACATCTTATTGAACTGGTAAAAAGATAACCTCAACTTCAAGTATTTTCTCTCTTTTAGAACCTTTATTTTGAAACCTTTGGTAACCTTCTTCTAATGCTTCACACATTTGATGAGTCATTGACTTCCAACGACTATTTTTCTTTTTTTCCCAAATAACATTGCTCCTTTAAAAAAATATTAACATAAATACTATTTAAATTAACCTTTCACCCCCCCCCCCTCAATCCTCTCATACCACTTATCAACAAATAAAAACATGCATACCTTGTGTTTATACACAAATAAAATTAGTTATACAAATTTTCATTTTTTAAATTATCTTACTTTTTTATTGACAAATAGCCTATTTCTAGTCTTTTTTCACTATTCACTAATGATAGTCCAATTCCCTCCAAATTAATATCTATTTCTTGCGTTGCTCGAAGAATTTGCTCCTATGAAATTTGAATCAAATGGTATTATTCTTAAATCCAAAAATAATCACACAATAGTTGCTAATAAACAAATCATAAAGTCAAAAAAATCATTTCATCAAAAACCTGATTTGCACAATAAGCAGATTTAAAATTATCTGTAAATAGCAGCACACGCTGAAGCCCATCAAGAAAAGTAACCCAATAGATAGCACCTCCTACTGGAGCTTTTATACGTCCAAAATCATTCTAAGTAATTTAAAAAAATGAATCAGTAAACATGACTTACAAAAAAAAAGTATATATATATATATATAATATCACAAACTTTGTCAAGTGTTATTTTAGTTAGAGAATCAGCAACTTCAATCAAACCACAAGTCAGCTCATGAGATAATGTAGGATCATCCCAAGTATATAAAACTGATTGTCCATAAAGAAGAACATGTCCTTTAAAATATCCACTAAAAACAATAAAAACAATAGTTTTAGCATAAATATTTTGGAAATTTTTTGTTACCCTTCTCACGGTTAGCACGGATCCTTATAATGCCTACCTTGCTGTCCCAAGAACGCCACTTACAGTATCGGACAAAACAAGTGCAATCAAATAATGCTAATGAAGTTTCTTTATATAGAAGCGCTGCATTTTTTCAATTTAGAGAAATAACTATGTAACTGTTTAGAGATAATGTTCTTCAAGTTTTATTCATCACAAAGTTCATTATTTGTACGCGAAAATTAATAAATTAATCAAAAGTATTAAAAAAAGTTGATTTCTTTCTGGACAAAACAAGTGCAACTCCACAAAATGTTGACCAAGTTGTATTTCACTATCAATATTTTGTGGCGAATCCTATGTTATCGATCACAGCCTTGCATCTTGGAGACATAGATTCGATCAGGTGATCAATGAATCGCTACCCAGGCCTTTTGGATTTGTTCAAACAGTTGATCCTTATTACGAACACCTTCACAATAAATTCTGCGGTTGACGATCTCCCACAGGTTCTCGATAAGGTTGAGATCTGGAGATTGAGGCGGCCAATCCATCACCAATAGGTGGTTGCCTTGAAACCACTGCTTGACTACTTTTGCAGTGTGTTTGGAACCATTGTCTTGCTGAAACCCATTTTATTGGCATATTCCATTCAGCATGAGGTAGCATAACATCTTTCAGGATATTTTTATACATGAAACGGTCCATTATTCCATCGATTCAATGTATTGGACCTAGACTGTTAGCAGAAAAACACCCCCAGACCATTACATTGGCTCCACCATGCTTCAGGGTCTTATAGCAGTAACGTAAATCAAGGCGTTTTCTGGCCGGTCAACATACATGGCAAATGTCATCGCTCCCAATTATGTTGAACTTTGATTCATCACTGAACAGGACAGTTCGCCATTTCTTCACATTCCAGTCAATATGAGAAGTAACAAACAGGAGTCTTTTCTTCTGGTTCTTAAGTGAAATCAGCGGTTCCTTTGCAGGGCGTCGAGAAAACAATCCGGCTTCAACAGCACGTCGTCTGATTGTTCGGTCCGACACAGGCAGCTCTAATTGCTTTTGTATCTCGACTGATAATATCCATGGATCCTATTTGATGGATCTGATGATCATAGAATCCTCTCTAGAAGTGGTGGAACACGATCTTCCACCTTTGCTATCTGCTGCTACCTTCCCATAGAACGATATTTGGAACATAGTCTTGATACGGTCCATTTATACGGTCCAAATACTTTTTGTGACATTCCACTTACATAATCGCCAATATTTTTCTTTTTTAGCTTCTAAATTCGTCTGGATGCTTCTGAATGTTTATGGATACTTCTGGATGCTTCCAGATGCTTCTTCTGGAAACTTCTGCATGCTTCTGGAAACTTCTGGATACTTCCTTTAATTATTAAAAAACTTCCGTGATGTTGACACGAACCAGACTTAAGAAAATGAAACAAACCAACAAAGTTGCACTTGTTTTGTCCACTGCAAAATGGCACTTGTCAACAAAATTCTGCCTGTGTGCTGTCACCTGTCAGCTGATTGCTCATGTCATAGCATGATATGACTCCAGACTCCTGAACTGTTTGCTGTGGTAGTATAGTTCGTTTCGTTTTTAAGACAAGTAAAATTAGGAACACTTTTTAGCATTGTTTGATGTTGGTTGCAAATGTTTTGTCCAATACTGTATACGAAAAGTTAGCTTACACATCAAGGTACCCTGTGATGCAAAGTTTGAAATCATTTAATTTTGTCTGCGGAAAATAATTTAATTTGAATGTTAAAAATTAAGTCAAATTTTGACTTCATAGTGCGCCAATAAAAACACTTGTAGAATTTGAACCACTTAATATAATTTGATAAAAATTGGTGCAAATGTAGTCACACCAAACTCTGGACAAAATTTCAGCCTGATTGGTTGACTGGTGTAGAATTTATTGCAGTTTTAGTTAAAGTTTTGTCAGTTTTTTATACCTCAAAGCGGTCAATAATGAATACATGAGTGTTCTACTATGTAATACCAATAACTTTTGTTATAATTATTTTATCGGTACATGTGCAGTTTTCATTTTATAGACCAAAATAGTGATTTTCTACTTAAAGCGTGATTTAAATAATCTTATGCTAATAGTGTCGACATGGCCTTCAAAGTGGAGGGGATCAACCCTTGAATTTCTAAAATAAAATCCATAATTTCTAAAATAATTGCCTATATTTCTAAAGCAAAAGGTCCTTGCAAAAAAAAAGTAGAGAAGGACATGATTCCCTAGCCTCTCTGGCATTGACAGCCATGTATGCTTCGCTTAAATATACCAAAATTTCCTAAGGTGTAAACTGCTGCCAAAAGAAAAAGCTAAAAAAAAGTGCAAAACCTGGTCAAAGAACTACCAGTTACTAAAACAAACAAAAAAAGTAGATCTAAAATATTTTGTATTTTGACCTCCTTCAATACATTTACTTTTAAAATGAAGTGAAAACTATTTAAACCCTATTTTTACATTGTATTACCATCAAATGTCTAATTACATTTTAAGAAATGTTTTTTTGATTTTCTCCACTAAAAGATTATTAATAAATAGCTCAATGTACTCTTTTAATACAAATACTCTATAATACTACTTTTAAAGATGGTGAAAATAATCATTATATGCTGTAAAATATGAATTTCAGCAGCCTAATTTCTAATAACTCAAATAATGTTCTTTAAAGATGTTTACTGTTCAGATCAATTATGCAGCGCAACGATCTTTCTTTGTACTCTGGATGATTATTATTTCGCTTATCAACCAATATGGATAAAAATCTTGATGAGAAGTTTCGACAGTTTGTTCACTATAGAGCCCCAAGAGGGATCCTTTGTGACTGATGAAATCCTTGATGTGGTAGAAGACAACGTGAATTTTGGGTGTTACGCTTGCACCAGTTATCATTAAGTTACACTTTTTGAAATTTTCAATTTTTTCAGCAAAATCCGGCTGAAGGATGTATCCAAAGCAAGCCTTGACAACTATATTGAAGCTTTTAAATGCTTCAATTATGCACACAAAATTGGGAACCATGTTTGTCTCAGCAAGTTGTTGCAGCATATCCACATTTTTAAAAAGCTTCCTGCATTCATTTCCCTCAAACTGGCCCCTGTGATACGGGCTCAGTTAAATGTGGAGGGCAGCTGGCCACTTAACAGCTTCTATCCAAGCAGTTTTAAGGATCTTGAAAAGATGATTGACAACTCCTAAAAGGAGATGTAATTCCATCAGTTTCCAAATTTTTCCAATTCCATCAAATTTCCAAATTCATTGAAGGCCTGCAGATGTTTGACTTTCGAATGACAATGCCTAACAGTTTTGCATTAGCAACAACCCTGCCAGATTGCTGAAAAGATTCAATGCTTGAATTAATTGAGCCCAGTGTTCGCAAGTTTCCAGATTTGGCAAAACAATTGGATTTGACGTCACACCAGGTGCAAGGGTGCGTACTTGAATGAGTTTGAAGACCACAAACTATATTTGCAACTTTTATATCACAAGACAAAATTAGTTTAACTCCATTTGCATTAACCAGTGACCAGATTTGTTAAATATTGGAGTGTGTTTCTGGCAAATCTTCTGAAACCCCATCAATAATTTGTCTCTTGACTCCAGTGTCTACCAGTCCTTTGAGTGAGAGGTTGATGTTGGTGTGGTGAGCTGGTTTTATCTCTTAACGCAGTATCAACAATGCTTAGGCAAAACTTGAGAAAACCTTTGGCACCATCAATTCCGAGCTTAACAAAATACCCACCAGAAATTTTGCGGGACTAAATAACATGATTCACAAGACTTGATAAATCATTGCAGTGAACAATAACGTGAACTGTACAAGAATCTGATTTTTTGTCTGTGATTTTTAAGTCACTGCAGGTGAAGAAATCGCTCAATTGTTGACCTAGTCTTACAAAATTCATGTAGAAATTTCGCTCTACTATCTTGCTGCTTGATGTTTTGTTTACAGTTCTAACAAGTTTCTTTAAACCGTTGTTTAACAGGTCCGTATTTAATTGCATATTTACAAGGGCTACAGTTTTCAATTTTGGAGCACTTGATAGTGTCTGCGCACTACTATGACCTAAAACCAAAACATACATATTTTATAGTTACAATAAACTTTGTTTAGTAAGTTTGTGTAAAACTTTCAAATTATTCGTTTTTAAAGAAATTAGAAACTTGTCAAGAATATACTTCTTAAAATCTATCTAGTGTTATTTCTTAATAATCAAGGTTTATTTCAATATATATGTTAAAATTATTTAAGTATAAATAATTACCAGGGGTAACTGTAAGTGGAGGCCTGCCGGATGCTTTAGCCAGTAGAAAGTTCCTTCCCGAGATAATTCTTTATTGGAAATAACTCGAGATGCGATTTGTTTGGATGATTTGGCATCTTTTGCTGCTTAAGATTGAATGTTTTCCCTTAACATTATTTGAGAACATTGGTAAGGCAAACCTTTTCCTAAAGGGCTGAGGCATTTGCTGCAACGCACCTTTGGTTTTTTTCTCAATAGTGGTTTGCTCTATAAGAGGATGTTTTTCTTGCTTTGAACAACCAATTCTGCATATTAGACAACAACACATCATGCCTCTTGTTTCAGGTCTCACTTGTATTGACTTAAAATCAAACAAAGGAAAGAGTGCAACTTGTTTCCTCTCTTGTTTCCTGCGCAAAGCAATTCTACACGATTTACAGAATCCTTTTGGTACTCGAGTATCACTGATATTGATCTTGGTCTTGTACAGTTGGCATATTCGATCTGCTTGAAAAGTAGTAAGCTGTCTTAAACATTTTTTCAGACACAGCAAGTGCACAAACTTTCGATTTTCATCATGATTCTTTGCTTGATTTGGCATCGTGGCAATTCATTAAATTTGACTTCACTAAATCAAACTCTATCTTTTACAAAATTTGACCTAAATTTATATTTGATAACAATCCAATTGATAACATAGTAAGACATATTATTCATTAAAAACTATTAAATAAAGAAAATATTTACTTGATTTAATTAAGGTAATATTAAATTACCTCAATTAAATCAAGTAAATATTTAATTAAGTCAAGTTAATAGGAACCAGGAAACAATTGTTTAAACTATTTACTTGTAAGGAAATTACATTATTTGTAATTTCCTTACAAGGTTTGTTTTATTTCAAAACAACCCTTCAATCTAACTAGTTATTCAGTTAAAGTAATTTTCCTCCATCTGGCCGTCCAAACTTTGTATTAGTCAGATATCTTAGTTAACTTATCTATATTTTTTAAGTCAATTATCTTTGTCAATATAAAAAATATTTGGTTTTTTCTATGTAGGTATCCCTAGAAATCCTTCTTAACCATTTTTTTAGAATTTTTTTGCATTTTGGCAGTAGTTTATACCTTAAGAAATGTTGGTATATTCACGCTATGCATACATGGCCGTCAAGGGAGCCATGGCCTGCCCACTTTTATTTGCGAGGACCTTTTGTTTTAGAAATATAGGTAATTATTTTAGAAATTATAGATTTTATTTTAGAAATTCAGGGGTTGACCCCCTTCACTTTGAAGGCCATGTCGACACAATTAGCATAAGATTATTTAAATCACGCTTTAAGTAGAAAATCACTATTTTGGTCTATAAAATGAAAACTGCACATGTACCGATAAAATAATTATAACAAAAGTTATTGGTATTATATAGTAGAACACTCATGTAGCCGTTATTTTATAAATAGTGACCAAATTTCAAAGTAATTGGAATGCTTTGAGGTATAAAAAACTGACAAAACTTCAACTAAAACTGCAATAAATCCGACACCAGTCATCTAATCAGGCTAAAATTTTGTCCAGAGTTTGGTGTGACTACATTTGCACCAATTTTTATCAAATTATATTAAGTGGTTCAAATTCTACAAGTGTTTTTATTGGCGCACTATGATGTCAAAATTTGACTTAATATGAACATTTAAATTAAATTATTTTCCGCAGACAAAATTAAATGATTTTAAAATTTGCATCACAGGGTACCTTGATGTGTACGCTAACTTTCCCTATAAGTGGCGTTCTTGGGACAGCTAGGTAGACATTATAAGGATCCATGCTAACCATGCTTAAAAAACTCATAAATTTATTACAGAAACTTTGGCTAGGTCAGTTTCACAGAGACTCTAGCTGTGCGCTGTTCTACCAGAAACAAGGTTTATGGGTGAATATGGAAACATCTTACTTATGCTTTTTTTTCTTTTTAAAAAGTCAAATTTAAAAATAAAATTTGTTGAAACTCATGCTTCAACTCTGAAATTGCTAGCATATTGAATGCAAATATTTTGATTCAGCATTTCATAGCTCAATGGAATTAGTGAACACTTGTTTTCATTAGTGAACACTTGTTTTAAGTCAATAATATAACATCATTACCTTTTTAACATTCACCTTCAAAAGTAGTAACCCTTCTCAGCTGTAGCTCCACTACAGCTGAGGTTTCTCTTTTGATTATTTTAAACTTCAACCCTAAATTCCAAAACATTTAAAAAAGTTGCTTCGCAGAGAAACAGGTTAAATGCAATACTTGCAGAGGTGTAAGACAGATTTGAACCTGAAGTCTCTTGGTTGTGAGTTAAAAGTTTTACAACTTATCTCTTATTGTATTTTATGATATTGTATTGTATTGTATGTTATTTCAACAAGAAAAATTTTCATACCTTTAAATACGAAACAAATAACATATTTTTTTCTATTTTATAACTTATCTACTTTAACTCAATAAAAGGAGTGGTAGATTAATCTTAAATTAGTAGATTTATTAGTTTTTGAAAAATTATTTAAGAAATTCTCTATTGATTAAAAAAAAATGGATTTTGACAACTTAAAAAAGTAAATGTTACTTCTTATGACGTCTTCTTATTATGATTTAATTTTATCATTAAACACAATCTTAATAAACATAAGTTACTAACAGTGTCATTATTTAAACTAATTCTTAATTTAGTAAGAAATAAACCAGCAGCATTAAAACTTCTTTCTGTAAAAGATGTAAGAAGGTTTAACAATGCATTAAGAATCTTTTTTATAAGAGCTTGTACTTTTTACAGTAATTTCAATTACCGCCATTTCTTGTTTAATACAAATCAAATTGTGGATAATTAGTCCTTTAGTTTTTCCTGTTGTTGAAGTTATTCTAATCATTTCAAAACTGTAATAAAATTTGTCTAAACAATGTACAATTGGACACAAATAACTTCTAGTTTCACTTGAAGTCAAAAGAAATTGAAAACCTTTCTAAAGTTAAATTTTTTTTTGCTGAAACTATTGAGCAATTTTAACTTTATTGAGCTTGCGTAGTTCATAATAGTTGCCTTTATAGCATGTCAATCATCATGGATCACTGGTTTATGGATACTTTTGGATGCTTCCACATGCTTCTTCTGAAAACTTCTGCATGCTTCTGGAAACTTCTGGATACTTCCTTTAATTATTAAAAAACTTCCGTGACATTGACACGGACCAGACTTAAGAAAATGAAACAAACCAAAAAAGTTGCACTTGTTTTGTCAGTTGTAACATGGCACTTGTCAACAAAATTCTGCCTGTGTGCTGTCACCTGTCAACTGATTGCTCATGTCATGGCATGCTATGACTCCAGACTCCTAAACTGTTTGCTATGGTAGTGTAGTTCATTTTGAGACAAGTAAAATTAGGAACACTTTTTAGCATTGTTTGATGTTGGCTGCAAATGTTTTGTCCAATACTGTATATCAATAACAAAAATTGTTTCTAAAATAAAGCTCATTTATTATTACACCTTTTTTATGATTCCTAACCTCTTAGGTTGTTGCATTTAATACCTAAACATTCATCAGTTTCTTTGTTAAAACTTTTTACTTTTTAATTTCTGTTAACTGCTAAAACCCAGGCTTTTTTAAATTCTTTTATTTTGTATTAAATCATCTTTGGTAAAATACTACTAATAACAAAACTAACAACTTACGTTTGCTTGTAACTGATCATACTAATTTTTTTGCACAAGTTTTCAACACGCACAGGTGCAGACCCAGAAAAATAAGGTTTAAAAGAAATAAGTGATGTAGAATCTTTTTCTTGATAGTTCACACAAATACCTCCTATCTTTAATATTGAAAAAATTTTAATATCTTTTTCATAAACTTGATTATTTTATAACAAATATTTTATAAAAAAATTTTGAAAAAATTATATATATTTAAATATATATATATATGTGTGTGTGTGTGTGTGTGTGTGTGTGTGTGTGTGTGTGTGTGTGTGTGTGTGTGTATGTGTGTGTGCGTAGATATTTATGTTTATTATATAAAGACATAAATGAATCTTTATATATAAATATATGTTATAACATAAAGAAATTAATGTCTGAATAGACAAACTTACCTCGTTTTGAAACTTTAAAAGAAGAGTTTGACCTGGTAAGGGATCAAAGTTTACAGAGCTGAACCCATTAATATTGAGAAACAAATTTTTAGGAGGAAGACAAGTAGGCCAATATGGAATACTCTATAAATGAAGTTACACTTAATAACATACATTTTCTTAAAAAAGTAAAACTAAAATAAATGTAGTTTTTTTACCTCATCTGGTTTGACTGTATGCCATTCTGAGGTTTCAGAACCCGATTCTGCCATACTAATTGAATACTGTTAAATAAATATTTAGTTAAACAAAGAATGATTATAAATGCTTTAATTTAATAAGATATTAGTTTTTTTCTATACTTAAATGTAAGAACTCCTTATATGATAAATTTTTTTTTTCAATAATCTAGCTTTATATATATATACAGCTCTTGGAATTAGGGTTGGCATTTGACAATGCTGAACTAAAAAGCAAAAAATTGTTGACATCGTTTCTATATTTTATGGTAACCTTTTTGTGTCAAATTTTTTACCAACCTCTAACAGTTTGAGGTTGACCTCATTTTTTTAAATTCTGAGTGCTGTAAATATATATATATATATATATATATATATATATATATATATATATATATATATATATATATATATATATATATATATATATATATATATATATATATACTATAGCATATTTATATGCGCAATTGCTCACTTTTATATATATATATATTTATTTATATATATATATATATATATATATATATATATATATATATATATATATCCTTATAGTGTAGTTGAAAGAGACTTTTATGGTAAAAAAAGTCTCTTTCGACTACAATTTTTATTACCTCGTCTCTTAAGCTGTATTTAACTGTCATCGAAATGTCAAAGCAATTAAATTAATGCGGAAGTACATTAAATTTTATTGTTTTTTAAAAAAACCTTAACAATAATGACTATAAAGTTTTTTTTTATTAGTGGTATTTTTTTTTTATTATTAAAAAACATTTTTAAAACATGTGTAAGTGTTGCTACACCGACTATCTTATAGGCTGCTGCTACAAGGGAGTGTTGCTACATCGACTATCTTATAGCCTGACTCGCAACGGAGTGCTGCTACATCATAAACATGTTTTGGTTGTATAAACATGTTTTGATGCTTAATTACAGTCCTGTTGTGTAGCATTAAAAATCATATCGTATATCCATTATTGAGAATTTTGATGTTATAGTGCATTTTTTTTAACATAATATACATGGTTGTTAATAATCATTAATACTTTTTTGTTGTTAATAATCATTTATATTTCTGACGTCATTGATTCCGTCATTTTATTTGTTGTTTTTAAGCATTAAATTTTTTGCCATGACAAAAAAAAAAAAAATAAAAAACCTTGTAAAACTTTGAGTTAAAACTACAAAACTCAGCATAGTTACATCAATATGTGCTAAATACACACTAAATGATTTTTATTTACCATGCTGTACAATGCATTAAGTCTGGCAAAGTTGTTTTATTCAGAAATGGCAAAAAGTAAGTATTACAACCGCCATGCTACTTAGAGTTAATTAAAAAAAAATATATATATATATATATATATATATACATATATAAAAATTAAATTTTAATTTTTTTAACGCATACCTTCTTAATTTGTTAGAATGAAGTTAAAACAATTGTAAACAAAATTTGGGTTAGGGAAGATCACAATAACCCGTGCTGACTTGCATCGGAACTTGTCAAGACTTGCTTACTATGGCAGACCTGCGCCATTGATTGATGTGCTTGTTATAACTTGCTTTTCTCTTACTGTAGAGTTAAGTACCCACAATGATTTTGCTCTGTCAACATGTCTGTAAAATTGCACAGTTTTAAAAATGATATATTTTTAATAGGTGACATGAAACATCAAATAATGGGATCAAAGCTTCCTTTTAATGGACAAGTTTTAGCAGTGCTACTTTATAACATTTGTGAAATGAAATTAAATGTAAATAAGAGTGCAAATCTCACTGTTAAGGAGTGTATTATTTATTGGGAAAAAGCGTGTATACCTACAAAATCGTTTCCAAATTGTGTAAAGAAACTTGTAAAGTTATATCAAGTTTTTTTTTTTTTTATTTTAATTCACCTCCTCAAGGCCGAGAAGGCCATTACAGACAAGGAGGCTACTTATTTGTAGCTATAACCCTCTCTCAACTCTATAACTCCGAAACACGAACCTTGACGAACAAGGCCGCTGCGCTGAGAAACGAGTTGAGCGCGGTACTACCAGGGATGTGGTGGGGATCGAACTCGGAACCACTCGTTTATGAAGCGAGCGCTCTACCACTACACCACTACCGCAAGTTTGGTGGGATTTGCAAAAAAATGCACACAAAACCCAAGATGTATTTAAACAACTTAGACAATATGTTTAATATCGCCCATGTAGACACACTTCATTTAATTAAAATATAAGAAGATAAGTTATTTTTGCAACGACAAAGGGAGCCAGGTCAACCGGGGTCACTTAAGTGGTATAGACAAAAAACTGGCCAACATAGAGGAAAGGTTGCGCTTAAAAATTATTGAGAAAGAGAAACGAAGATCTAACTATTTCACAGAGTCAATTCCTTCGTCATCATTCCATGATACATTTCAAAAAGATTCATCATCTGCTTCAGAGGTAAACTCAAGAGCGCGCAACCCGAAACAAGTAAAATATCTATGCAGAAAAATTTCATCACTCCAAAATTAGTAGCAGCGCTAGACAGGTGTCAATTAAGTATGAGAGATTCTGTGTATATTCTTGAAGCTACTATTGAGGCACTTGGATACAATACTGATGAATTTCCAATAAATAAGTCCTCAATTCAAAGAATTTGCATCAAAAAACGCATAGAAGGCACTGAAGCTATAAAAATAGATTTTCAAAATGAGATGCCACAGGTTGTGACCATTCACTTTGATGGAAAACTGTTGCTTGCTTTAGATGCCCGAAAATCAAAAGAAGAACGTCTACTGATAGTTGTTTCATATGGAAATAAAGAACAATTGATTGTTGTGCCAAGAGTAGAAAACTCATCAGGAAGAGAACAGACAGAGGCGGTTTGGAAAGCACTTGTAGACTGGAATTTTGAGGATAAAGTTCAAACTCTTTGTTGTGATACTACACAGGCCGTATTAATGGCACCTGTGTATTGCTTGAACAGAAACTAGACAGAGATTTGCTCATTTTTGCTTGCCGTCATCGCATGTATGAGTTAATATCAAAAGCCGTATTTGAAGCCAAGTAACAACAAGCCCTTATATTCTGCTGTTTAAAAAGTTCCGTGATAGCTGGAAAAGTGTCGACTATATAAATATACTACAACTATGTAAAATACAGAGCTTCAAAGAAAAAATCGATTCTTATTTGACTATTTCAGAAATAGAAAACTTGATGAAATTTTACAAATCTGAGTTAACAAAATCTATAATCCGAGATGACTATTGCAAAATAATTCAGCTCTCAATCATATTTTTAGGCGGAGATAAATATAGAACATTTAAAATTAGACCACCAGGTGCCATGGACCAAGCCAGGTGGATGGCGAAAACAATTTATGCCCTGAAGATGACACTTTTTAATGATCAAATAAAAATCTCGAATAAGGATAAGGAGGCACTAATAGATGTTTGCTTATTCATTGCAACATCTTACGTAAAGCCTACAATGCATTTTGGCTATAAAAGCACCATATCAGGATTTATGCTTTTTAAAATCAATGAAAGCCTACAAAATAATTGATAAAAACATCTCAAAAACAGCTGTGCAGAAATTAAGCCAGTATCTATGCTATTTAAGTGATGAAGTAGATGCTTTATCATTATTTGACGACAATGTCGACCAAGGAGATAAAATTAAAATCGTTGAAAACTTTAACAGTGACATTATATCAAGCTATGGTAAATGCTATATAACATCCAAGAGGAACTCTGTGGTTCCTTGTATGTTAAATTTTATTAATAAATATAGCAACTGTTATTTTTATTTACTTACTATATTTTAAAGTAAATTGTATTTCTTTTTTTATTTCAGATAAAAATATCTACGACTTCGTTTCAGTGAAAAGTAAGACTTTGTTCACCCTGCTGCAAATTGATCACAGTATTTTGGACAAAGAACCTTCTTCATGGTCAAATAACGCTTCGTTTCAGGATACCAAAAAGAAGGTTTCAATGCTGAGGGCTAGCAACAATACTGCTGAAAGAGCAGTTAAAATGATGCAAGAGTTCCATGACCTAATAACAGTCGATGAGGAACAAAAACAATTTTTATTACGCTGCGTGCAAGAACACCGAAAGATTGATCCTGATTGCAAAAAAAAGTCAGCACGGGTTACAGTTGTCCAATCGCTTTTATATTTTATATTAGAATATTTAGGGTCAAATAGAAAAATATTAGGGGTATGCGTATTAAATTTCGCAAATTTTTTTTTTTTGCTAACGCCTTGGGACAACCTAATATATATATATATATATATATATATATATATATATATATATATATATATATATATATATATATATATATATATATATATATATATATATATATATATATATATATATATATATATATAGCTAAAATAAAGTTTAAAAATCATCAATGAGTAAATTATAATTTATAATTAAAAATAAAATGTCAGATTAAATTACTTCTAAGAACAAACCTTAGTATGATTGGTTAGAACACGCAATGGTGTAAAAGTGACAATCTTTGTTAGAGAAAAATAAGATAGACTAATGCCAACTCCAATCTATAAAAATATTTTTAGACATTATTTAAATAAAAACCATATAACTTAAATTATTTATTTGAATTACCTCAAACATTCGTTTTCGTAAACCTTCTGATTTAAGTGCACCACCACTGTTTACAGTATCCAAGGAAAATACATCAGACCATTCACAGTTTTCTACACAAATACGTGCCTATAAATAAATTTCAAATAACTTTAAAATAAACATTTTTTCATTGTTTAATTAAGGTAGTTTTAGCTATAGAAAAATAAATTAGCACTATAATTATTAAAATACTTTTTTTGAACTTTTTTTTTTAACATTAAACATAAGAGCTTCTTCTTTTCCAGTTGGATGAACAAATGTAGCATCATTTCCAATAGCCTAAATTTTAAATTTGCACCAGAGATTTTTTTAATTAAAACAAATAAAAAAGAAATTAAACTTGCGACATGTTTTTATGTATATATATATATATATATATATATATATATATATATATATATATATATATATATATATATATATATATATATATATATATATGTATATATATATGTATATATATACATACATATATATGTATGTATATATATGTATGTATATATATATATATATATATATATATATATATATATATATATATATATATATATACATGTGTGTATATATGTGTGTATGTATGTATTAAAAAATTATTTAAAAGATTATAAGTTCTTTCTTAAATAAAACCAAAATACTGTTACTAATGTTATTAAAATATTATACTTGATAAATAAGTGTTTTCCCCGTTTTGTTTAGCATCCAATATGGAGAATATAATGTTATATGAATTCCACCATCAATAACTGTATAAATTTTAAGTTCCTAAAATGTGTTAAATAATTAAACAATAATATTAAAATAAGTTTTTTATATTTTTATGACAGAACAAAGAACAAAGGATATAAGAATCCTAAAAGAATATAGAAAGTACATATAGATAATAGATAATTACATGCCTATAGTATAACTTGACTTGATACAACTCATTCAAAACTTTATTCATAACTTATTTGACCAAACTTGCTTAATCAAAGTTTCAGTATTAATTGCAAAGTTATTATTATTTGTATTGTAAAAAAAGTACAAAATAATTAAATAGTTTTTGAGACATTGTTGTCCATATTTATAATGTCTGAACCATGATATAAGAAGTCAAAAAGTTGAAAAAATATGATGCAACTTACGGTTGTCAACCATAGAAAATTTAAAAAAAAGTTATCAGCATCAACATTAAAGAATTTAATCTACATGATTGGTTTCTATTGGTTAATTGCTTAAGTCAGATGGTTTCTGCACAGATCTTTTTCCAGATTTAATTCTACATCAAATATTTGATGTATTCATTGATCATTAAACATTCAACTAACCAAAATGATAATAAGGTTTTTTTCACTTTTAGTTAACTATCTATCATGGAAAATAATTTCTTGTATTGGGTAGTCTGTTTTGCTTTGAAAGAGAAAATAATTAATTCAAGGGAAAGAAAATAAAGATATACATAATGAAATAAAATTTTCTTGTAAAACTTTAATAAACTATATAACTATTATATTAAATTTAAAGTTTTTGTATTTGCTTTAAAAACTTATAACTATATATTTTTAAACAACCATATAAATGAGTTTTTATAGAGATTGTTTTTAGAAGAATGGATTTCTTATTTATATGAGAAATTGTATATAACAATTCTTTCTTATTTTAGACAGAGAATGTGACCATAGGGTGCATTTTTTCCTATTTTTATCAAACTTTATAAATAAAGGTCATCCTCAATCAAAAACTTAAAGTTAAACAATATATAACAAACTTCAACTTACATATTTTACTAATAATTTGAATAAAATTTATTTTTAATCAACAAATAGAATTTTTTTTTGCAATATCTTGCTAATTTATCCCTAATCTTGGTGATACCATCTCCTTCCTCTAAATAATACTATCTCCTTCCTCTTAAATCTTTAGCATCATTTGCACTCCTGATTTTTGTTTATCTTTTATCTTTAATCATTTGTTTTAGTTGAACTTTTCTAAACATCTTTTAATTTTATGGTGCAATCAAAGGATTAATGGTGCAATTTATGACACAGTTAAAAGTTTAATGAACTTTTGAATACCATTAGAGTTTGGAAAGGACAAACCTTATCTAATCCATGGTCAGGTAGTCAAAACCTGACTAAAACTTAAGACTAAAAACATTTCTCTTTCAAACAATTTCTTGTTTATAAATTGAAAAAATTGTTATTATAGTCACAAAGTACATTTAAATTAATTTTAAATATCTATACATCTAACATCATTTGAATAATCAAGAATTATGCTACATTAGTTTAAATACAAACAAGAAATATCTACCTGAGGTTTCAGGAAGAGATTTGATAAAAGATTTATAGTATGAACTGGATAGCAAAGAAAAAGCAGTCTATCTATTTTTTAATTATTAATTATACATTAATGTTCATATTATTTCAAAAAAAAATAAATAATAAAACTTGATCAACATTAGTGAAGATCAGGCATTCCTAACACAAAAAAATATTTTTGTGAAGATTGGAAAGAATTAGTAAAAATATTTCTTGAAAAAGAAAATTATGTGGTCTATTAAAATATTCTAATGCTAGAAATAGAAATAGAAATATGCTGTACACTCAATTTCTTGAGTGTTGAGTCCAAACTACGCAGAATTCGAGACTGTAACAGCTGTGACATAACAAAATAGCTTTGAAAAATAATTGCTAATATTTAAAATGTTTGTCTATTCTGTTTTTAAATTGATTGATGGTACTTGCATCTATTGCATTTTGATCGAGATTGTTCCAATCATTCACCGTTCTATTTGTAAAGAGGTTAAATCTTCTCAAGTTGCTTGTTAATTGCCTTCTTAATTTCAAATTGTGACCCCTTGTTTTTCTTTCACTATCAATAATTTCTGGTGGACAGTGAAAATTAACTATGTCATATCCTTTAAAATATTTGAACTAAATCCCCTCTTCTTCTTCTATTTTCGAGCGATAATAGATCTAGTTTTTTAAGTCTCTCTTCATAGCTATACCCTCGTAAACTTTCGATTCTAGTTGCTCTTTGTTGGACTTTCTCTAATTTATCCTTATCATACTGCCAGTACGGGTTCAAAATTGTGGCTGCATATTCTAAGTGAGGTCTAACTAATGAGACAAATAACATCTTCATCATAATCTCATTCATATAATGGAAAACATGTTTGATTTGACTGAGTTTTTGATTCGCTTTGTTCACTGCACAGTTTACATGATTATTCCATTCCAAATCGTTTTAAATTAGAATTCCTAAATCGTTTTCTGAACTTGTAACCACTAATTTTTCGCTCTTGATCATAAATTCGAATTGCTGTTGACTATTACCAAATATCATTATTTTGCATTTTTGTTTATTAAATTTTAGTGACCACTCGTTTGAACATTCTACTAATGAATTAATATCTTGTTGTAGTTCAATTGAATCATTCACATCTTAAATAGCTCGTAAGAGTTTCATGTCATCAGCAAACATTTTACAAAGTGATTTGATTCTTTTTTTTATATCGTTAATAAATACAACAAATAAGAGAGGACCTAAAACTGAACCTTGTGGTACGCCGCTTACAACTTTCTCCCAATCTGATTCAAAACTACCTAATACCACTCTCTGCGATCTGTTTTTTAAGAAGCCTCTAGACCAGTTTAATATTTTCGAATCAAATCAAAATTTTAATTTAAATAATAACTTCTCATGGTCTACCGAGTCGAATGCTTTAGCGAAGTCCAGAAATAGGATCACCTATGGCCAACCTTCAACTGAGCTTGTAATATAACCGAATGTTTCCAACAAATTTGAAACACAATTTTTTTGTTTACAAAGCCATGTTGGTTCACGTTAATTAAATTGTTATTTGTTAGATGTTTCATCATCTTATCCCTAACGATCCTCTCCATTGTTTTAATCAAGTTTGTTCTCTTTTTTAAACAATGGAATAATTATCTTTTCATATATAAACTTACTTTCGATCATACAATTAACAAAGCGATATTTGAATTTAATAATATGGTGCCCATGATTAATACCTCTTAGTGGTGGGAGATAAATTAATCCGAAAACACAATTTTTGCATTCAGTGAGAATTAGATCTAATATGTTAGTCATTACTCCTACGTTATTCTGAAATGTAGGTTCTATAACGTTTTGGTGTAAAAAACAATCATTTAAACACTCTTAGCCTGTACATCAGACGCGTTCAATAACATTCCAAAATATTCTTCAGACCATTTGATTGTATGGAAATTAAAATCCCAACATATTAATAACCCTGTGAACTTTTTATTTATATTCGTAGAATGAGCGTATCTTATAGATTTAATTATATCATTACAATTATTTATATCGCTTGCTCCCGTTCTATATACACATCTGCATAATAATTTTTCTAAACCTAATTCAACTATACACCAAACTTGCTCTACATTTGGGTTCTTTTTGCTCTACATTTGGGTTATTTAAACAATTCTTTGGAACCTCATAGACTTTGATTTTATCTTTTATATACATACAAACTCCCCCACCTCTACCAATGTTTCTATCTATTCTAAATAGAGTGTTTCCTTCTATATTTGTAACTGAAGAATTTGTCCACCATGTCTCGCTTATCATTATAATATCAGCATTGCTTGAATTTATTTCCTCGATTAAATCATCAAATTTATTGTTCAACGATGTTTCATTTGTGTATAAGCATGTTATCTCACTAAGTTTATCACACGAATTTGACAGTGTATTAACACCCTTTTCATTTCGGAAATGAATTTTTGTATTATTGTTATTATTATTGTTACTGATGTTGTACTTATTAATTTTTACATTTCTTTTAATAATATTTTTGAATTTTGGTTAGTTATTTTTATTAATTTAATTTATAAATCGAAAGGGCTGATTATCGGTTTGACTATTGTTTAATTTCTTTCTTTCCGCGATTAAATTTTTTTTGCTTTCTCCTTGCCCTATGGTGAGATCAGGGTTAATATAAATTTTATTTCTATATTCGTCAATTTTACTCAATTTGTTGGCATTACTTAATTACTTATTGAGCAGAACTTTTATTATCCATTTCAACAATTATTATTCCTGGCTTTTCTTTTTTTTGAATGAAAACAATGATGACACATAATTTTCTCATTATCAAGTTTAAGTGCTGTAAATATTCCATTAATTGCATTTTTATCGTTGTCAATTTTTTTGTTTACATCTGTTTCTTTTGATTCATTAATACCAAAAAATAAAAAGTTTTTTTCTCTTTTTGCTCTTTCCAATGTTTCAACAGAGACAGCATTTAGAAATATAGCCTCTTGCCTATTTCAATTCACTTTTTAAATCTTTTTTTAAAAAGATTCTGTATAACAAGCGAAAACATGTCTTCTAACTTTAAAGGTAGAAGTCAAGAAAAGTTGTTATTAAACAAGATCAGGTGGTTTGAAGATAATATCTAAAAAATTTTAATAAAAACAAAATTTCCAACTAAAATGAAAAAATGGTTTATGTCTTTGTCAATTGAACTCTTCCGGTTAGATTTTTTTTACAAATTAATAGCACTCTCTTGGTTAGATTTTTAACTCTCCTTGTTAGATTTTTATATAATTCAATAGGACTAATCTGACTAAATTTAATTTAATGACTTTCATGTTAAATGCGGTAGTGGTGTAGTGGTAAAACACTCGCTTCATAAGCGAGAGGTTCTAAGTTCGATCCCCACCACGCCCCTGGTAGTACCGTGCTCAACTTGTTTCGGAGTTATAGAGTTGAGAGAGGCTTATAACCACTA